CCTCCTCCTCCTCCTCCTCCTCCTCCTCCTGCTGCTGCTGCTCCTGATTCCTCAAAAGACTGCTTCCTCCTTCCTTCCAAAAGACCCCTTCGTAGTAGGTCCTCTCACCTTCCTATTCTGTATTCTGGGACACGGTATAGAAAAACGACTACTCGTAGAGATCAGGGAGTATAACCGCCAATGATGAATCAATAAATGAATGAATGAATGAATGAACGAATTGTCATGGAACATGGGATATGGGACAAGGAACATGTAACACGCGACATGCGACATGCGATATGGGGGGTATCTATAAGCATATATCTCTAGCTATTCAACTATTCATCCATATCCTTCATCCAGATCATTATGCGTCTCCTCAAAAGAAATCCATCGCTCGGTATGGGACAAATCGCTCAATAAATCAATAAACTACCTTGTTAGCTTACTTCCACTGTCTCACCCGCGCAGCGACTTCCAGCATCCCTGCCGGCCACCACCATTGCTGCTGCTGTTGCTGCTGCTGCTGAGCACCCCCCAAAAACGCCGTTCCGTACCGCGCAATCAATCCCTGCAGCGACACGAACGGGAATTCGCCCACCCACCACGTCTCCTTCTCCAACAGAAGCATCAGCACCAGCCAGTGCGCATAGACATCCAGTGCCAAGATTTCGGCAGTCGTGAGTTCTCTATCCTCGTCTCCATACTCGTCCCCGGCGACGGCGTTCATGTCCGCGTGAGGATCAAGAAGGGGCAAGAGCAGGTCGACGTACGTCTGTGGCGCGCTGGAGAAAAAGGCCAGGAATGATCGTGCCAGCGGCTCTGCGTGCGTCGGATTTGGTCGCTGGAGAATGAAGTTGTGGAGCCAGCCGGGCGCCTGGGCGAGGAGGCTGTCGGGCGAGACGGAGAACTTTTGCCACTGAACGTTAGTGATGAGCGCGTCTTTTCCATGCAAGAGGTGGCTAGAATAGGTGGGAGAAAAACTCACACAAGAAGCATATTCAAAGGGAATCTCAGTCTCCGGACACTCCGTAAACGTGCTGGTCATGATGTCGCTCAGAATCTCGTACGCCCCATAGACCGCGGCCATATTCTCGTCGACCTGCGACCCGGCCAGCGCACACTCGATCCGGCATCGCAGCTGCGATGATGCCTGGTGGAATGTCGCCCCCACAACGGGAAACATGGTGTGCGACCGCTCAGGTATAACCGGCGAGTCTGTCGCGGAGTCCCCCGCTGACTGGGCTGCCGCCGAAAACATCGTCTCCCATGGTGACTTGGACTTTGAAGTACCCGGTTCGACGGGGTTGGAATTCAGCGCGACAATGGTCGTCCGGATCCCCCGAAGTAAGAGAATCATGTCGCGCGGGGTCAAGAGGTCCGTGGTGCGTACGCCCTTTGCCCGGAGCACCCAGTGCTGAATGTGCTGAAAGGCCAGGGCAAAGGGGACCAGCATCAGAGAGCTGGCGATCAGGGGTTGCGTGTCTGACTCTCGCGGTCGAGACGTCATGGTCCGCATCTGCTCGAGGGCCAGCGTGTGATGCTCCAAGCCCATGTCGAGAATGTGCCGCACCGTCTCGGGATCGGCGCTTCGACCAGCGGAGATGGTGTCGCAGCACAGACACGTAGCAGATAGTGCCAGAACCGAGTGCGAGACGAGCTCACTCTCGAGAGCCAGCTTGGCTATGCCGACCTGCAAGACGATGCGGTCCTTTTGCCAGCTGGGCGCGGCCCGGCACGTATGGTTGAGGAAATGGAAGTAGAGGTCCGAGTCAGTCACGTTGGAGAGGACAATGTCGTTCCCACCTTGACTTTGGGAGGCATTACTAGGCACCGGTGACTTGGACAGCATTTCTCTAGGTGGAGGGGCTAATCGACTCCCAGATGACCGGGGCGGCGATGGCACTGGCGATGGCAGCGAAGACCCCGACACGGGCGGACGTGCTTCGCTTGATCTTGAAGCTCGTTCGTGCTGGTCTGGCGCATATGTGCACGTCCTCAGACTTGTTTCGCAGAGTGTACAGCACGGCTTCTTCTCGTCGCACTGCCGACGGCGTTAATATCAACATGTCCTCGATGATCAGCGACATGTGTGCTCACCTTTTTCCTTCTCTGCTTGCACGTCAAACAGCCATTGCGAGATTTTGCGTGGGATCGCCTGGACCGAAACCCCGGCGGGAAGGGGTTAGACGTCGGCGACGACGACGACGAGCTTCGATCCATTGACTTTTTTTTTTCTTACTCGGAGATTCCTCGCTACCAGCAACTACCAAGGAGATTCTCAGTATATCGTAGGGCTAGAGCATCGGGTCGTGGTTTTTGATATTGTATTTTGTCTTTCGCTTGCTTTACTTGTTTGGAAGTCGTTCCGCTTGGGGTTTTGTTAATAGAGATTTCCTATTCGACCGTGTGGGGAGAAGCTGAGCTGACTCAGTTGTTCAGGCAGGGTCCTCTGGGGGACAAGAATTGTCAGGGTCTTGCGACAAGCAGTCGACAGCTGGTGGCGCGTGGTGAATCTTGTTACAAATTGTGCCTGAGTCTGAGCTCCACCGGGCGATGAACCGCGGTATTCCGCTTGATTAGCCTGAGATGGCCCCTGGTAGGTGGACGGTCGACTGACATCCGGCGGAGTAGCAGTGGAGGGTGGAGGGAGGAGGACGAGGTATGGGCGTCGCATGGTGATTGCATCTTGGCAATAGGGCTGCCTGTAGTGAGGCCTGCGATGGTGCCTTGGCTGAGGTCATTGAGCATCTTGTCCAGGCCAGAGGTGAGATGGTGGTGTGGTGGAGTGGTGGTGCGTCCCTCAGTGTTGGGGTGGGATTTAATTATTGTGGCTGCGCCCTTTAACCAACTTCGCCCAACTAAGCCCAGCCTGGCCATGGTGGGCGAGGCTGAGCATTAACTACGAGCCCAACTACGAGTCACAACTACAACTGCGTGCATCAGGCCAGAAACTCTTCTCACCGTTCCCCCGTCCACACCGATTTCGCATCCGATTTCGCTAATCAGCTTTTGCAATTTCCTCTCTCGCCTCGTTTTAGTAGTAGGTTGTGGGTAGATGCTCTAGTGGGGTTTTTTTTTGTTTGTGGCACGCCATACCAAATGAAACCCGGGGACGGACACGTTCAAGGGAGATATACGAGTACGAAGGACGGATTAGGCTCGAGGTATACTTGTAGGCAATAGGCAGGAGATACATAGCACTGGCACTGCCCAAAAGGGACTGTAGATCTGTAATCGATATTTCGCAAAGTGCATGCCAGAACCAGGCCTCGGCATCTTGCGACAACAACAACAAGAACAACAACACATGCATCTCATATGCATATGCTGTGCGACTCATCACACCTACCGCATCTCTCATCTATGCGACCCTGACTTTGGAGCAACCGTTTCATTGTCTCGACTGTAACGCTGAATCTGGCTTCTTCGTACTCGGACCCGGACACTGCTGAGACTGGATCTGTGACTTGATTGGGACGGATTTGTCCACCTCGAGCAAGAAATGGCGTAGTTTTCAGTAGTTGAGGACGCGTCGCGAATAAGAGTGGACGCGGATATACCACTCTGAGAGAGCATCTACTTGTAACCACTATCGCAGGTCTCAATGGTATTGGCAATGACAACTACGACAAGTACAACAATGACGCTCTGGTATTCGTTTACATCAAACAGAGCGACAAGTCCAGGTCAGAGACGATAAATCAATTTAGGAGATTTCATATAGTTATACGTAAGTTATTATCTCGATGATATATAGTAAAAGGAACGCAAAAAGAATCGCAGTCTATAAGCCGAACGTCCTGATAAATCAATCTCTTCCCAATATGCTGCTCCTCACACTTCCCTTCCTACATTGGACTTGTTTCCTACTTCATCCAGATCACAATCCGTTCCGCTCCAAAAAGTCAAAAGTCACCTGGTACCCCGCCGTGGCGTTGTTGTGCAGCGTAAACGCATGCCCCGTGTTGGGCTGGATATAGTCCTCCACCACGGCGGCGTTGGGGTACGTCGCCCTCAAAGCCTGCGGTTCGTACGCCCCCTTGCAGTCGCCGTCGCAGATGTAAAAGTCGAATTCGGCCAGCATGTACTGCACCGGCGCGTTGAGGCCGGGACCCTGCAGACCGATGATGTGGAAGGCCGAGGCCAACTCTGCCACAGGCACGGGCTGCTTGAGCGCGTCGCCGTAATCAAACATCTCTTGGGTGAAGGCCGTGGCGGGATCACCCCCGAAGAAGAGATTTTGGATCCCGGTCTTCTGGCACACGACGTACCCGCTTGGTCGGTCAAAGGGAGGGGAGCTCGTGGCGGCAAAGTCAACACCCCACGACGCCATGCCCGGCGCACCCAGGTATTTGCCGTAAAAGTAGCCGGTGATGATAACCCCGTCGGTCAGAGTGGGATATTTGGCCACCAACGCCGAAGTGAGGAACGATCCGAAACTGTGGCCGACATGGACGATTTTGTTGGGGGCGGCCAACGAGTTGAACTGCGCCGTCGCAGGCTGTGCTTTTGCTGCGAGGCTGTAAATGGTCCCGTTGCGCGCCATCAACGTCAACTGTCGAAGAATCTCGAGCTCCAGCGGCGCTTGCACCACATTGTACGCGTCTGGATGGTCCGATTGCCCGGCTCCGAGGCGGTCGTACGTGAGGATCGAGTATCCTGCTCTGAGCGACGCTTCAACATACGACAGGTTGTCCCGTTGGAGCTCAGGGTCCCAATACCTCCCGTCATAGTGTGCGCCGTGGGTCGCGATTTGTAGAATGTCCTTTTTCGCCGCAGGGGCTTTGGGGACGCACAGCTGGGCGTGGATATTGAAAGTTCCGGCCGTCGTGGTGTTTTTGACGACAGTCTGCACGCCCTGGGGAGTGCTCCAGGTGTCTTCGTAGATGGCCCAAGCTCGTGCTTCAATGTTGCTGTCCACTCTCCGGTGGTCGTAGATGGCGCTGTCTGCGGAAGCGAACACCGGGATGTCCAACTGCTTGCAGTATCCGTTGGTTCTCTCGGGAGCTTTGACGGGCGAGGCGGTAGCAGTACGAGACAGAGCCAACAAGGCTACGACAAAGGCGGCGGCCATAGTGGACAAGGGAATAGAATGAGTGAGAAGTTGCGCGGGCTTTGATTGTGTCCTTCATCGAACGGCGGCAGCGAGGACAGCATTATATAGTTGTAGACAGTCAGCTCCGCTCAAGTCTGCAATGCGAGGTATGACGTTGCTGCTGGTCAACGATGAGAGTAACTCAGCTGTCATGGCTCTGTTGTCCAGGGCCGTATGAATAACGCGCACAACCGGGACAGTCGATTGAGCATGGTTACAATATCGGCCATGGCGGAGTCTGAGTACGCGATGGAGCGACGCGGTGGATAATAGAGCCGTACAGACAACCCATCTCGCAATTGGAAAGGAGAAGCGCTCGGAATTTATCCATCGTATTGCTGTACTTGTTCACGTCGAATATGCGAGTGATGAAGCATATCCCCCGCAAAGACGAGGCTTTCTTGATGGTAAGCACCTCATGGTGGACTAGTTTGTTGGACACTGAGAAATTTGGCGACGGCGGGGATGGCGGATATGTGGTGGGAGGGACTAGATTGACCAGGGGGCGTATTCGCTTCGCGGGAGCGTATTTGTGGAGTCGACCCTGCAGCGCTATGACAATTTGTGCCTGTAGTGGCGGGAGAGGCCGTTAATGTTTTTTGGATCAATGACGACGGGCTGGACGGGGATGCACAGATGCATCAAAGGAAAGTTTGTAGCAAGAGGCAGTGCGCAGCAAAAGCTCGTATACGATGGAGATGGAGAGGAAGAGAAACACAAACTCGGGACTCGCACAGCAAACGAGGCTGTTACAACTGCAATAACTGAAATCAATTCAATCCCCACTGGGCACTGCTGCTGCACTACTCATGCACTACTCCTCAACCTCACATTCAAAATTGATGGTTCAGTGCATCAAGTCAAGAGCAGACAACTTCAGAGGATTGCTATAAAGTGCTTGATCTGGCCTGCGTTTGACACATTTACCTCGTCCACTATCATCCTGATCCATCCTCATCCTCTTCATTCTACACCAACGCCTCAGACACAGACACTGCTTGCGTCCAGTCTCATCCTTCAACAACCAGACCAGCAACCCCTCACTCCATCTCTCACATCATCACCTCGACCTCCCTCACACTTCTCTCCAATGGTTGCCCTCGCCCTCGCCCTCGGCGCCGCCATCTACTTCACGGCCGAAAAAGTGCGGGACCACAAGAGAAAGAAGGCCGCCCTCAAAGACAAAGACCAACAGGCACCGCCCTACGACTCGATTCCTCACAGTGCCTCGGCCTTGGAGAACAGGGCGGCCCGTCGCTCCGTGGACCAGCTCCCGCGATATGTGTACAGCGAGCCCCCACCGTATCATATCAAAGACCAGATTCGCGGGCAAAAGGCCCCCAAATAAATATCTGTCATCCAGCTGTGGGGAGTTGGGGTTTGACAGCGCTTAGGCGAGGTCGTTTACGAGGGGGTTGAAGCGGGGGTTATGGATCTTGCAGGCAGGGACAGGGACAGCAGGGGGGTTGATCTTTTAGACGTATGGCGTTTGGGTTTCTTTATTGTGTAGCCCTGGTCATACAGCGAGACAAGACGAGATACTTTGCAACGGGTGTATCCCTCAGACATGCCAGGGAGCATGTTTGGTAAGCGCGGGAGTTGTACAGTGTATATAATCAATCTAATCTTTTCTATCCTCCACCAATCCTTCAATGTTCAATGTCCCTGGCATCATGGCATAGCAATCTCTAAGTGAAACTGTGCCTTTATCCAATATTGGTAGCGGTGAGGACTAATATCGTCTTTCTTCCAGCCCCTTGCGAGGCTACGAGGCTCGGGAGAGCTGTATCTGGATGGCCGGCATATAGAGTGTCTGCTTGCAGTGAGAGTGGCATGATGGCACTGTGAAGAGGTTTTTTGTGGTCTAGAACATCAGAGCATGCGTTGGTTGAATCAGGAGATGTTGGTAGCCAATGCCCCTGCCGCACCTGAGAATTCCGTCTTCTGTTCCCAGCATGGTGACACCGACAGCCCCGACACGTGGCAAGGCACAACTTCCCTACCCGCAATTCAGGGTCTCTAGCAAAAAAGACGAATCTGATCCGCCAGGACACTGGGACATGCAAGGGGACACGGGAAATATGGAGGGTGGGAGGGTTCGCATCGAATACTCAATACTCCAGCCTGACAACCTGGAAGCCTCGCGAATACGCTTCCGCAGTCCACATCATCTCCACATTTACGCAGATACGCACGCGCCCCATCTCGCACTTCTGCATCATTCCCAACCTCCACCATATAATTTTCGGCGCCGACGTCAAGAATGCCATCCTGCATGCGACACATGACACATCGTCTCGCTCATACTCGTACTCGTATATTTGCTACAAGAATTAATTCCCGTTCCCCGGACGATAGGCTCGCGGTCTCCCTCGGTCTCGCACCTCCGCGCCGCAAAGCTACTGAGGAATAATTCCAAAAACCTTCCCTCCGTCGTCATGGATCACGGACACGCAGCATACGACAAAGGACCCGTTGCTGCTGCGCCTTGCTTGCTGCGCGGTGACTAAGGTGCAACACAGTCCACGCTGCAATTTCTCTCGATGTCATACACGCCACGGCCTTGACCTTGACCTCGTCGACTGGTACTCCTACGGTGTGATCATGCCCGGCAACCAAGGGGTCCAAGTCTAGCCTTGAACCATTCGATCTGGAAAGTCCATGGCTTGTTCCATAAATACAAGTAAGGAGTCGAGCTGTGATGACATTGTTGTTCAAGATCCATGACCAGCAAACTCAAGGTTGTTCCCTTGTCTCAATTTAAAAGGCCTGATACACTTGACCAGTCTATAGGTTTATTCTTGATCAACCTCAATATCTGGCATTGCTATTACCTCTCTTCCTCAACACCTCGTCAGACCACTACGAGACGAGACAGTGCATTCTACCTCTTACCCCCAAAAGACACCATGACAGGCAGTCTCCGCAAAGAATGCGACAAGGCCGCACAAATCCTCAAGAGCTTCGTTGGTGCGCAGCATTCTCTCCCTCTCGCTTCCCTATGATATGTTAGAACTAGACTGACACACGCGCGCAGACAAAGGCCGAATACCCGCGCAGGTTATCGCCCACGCCAAAGGCCTCGCGATCTTCTCGGGCTTCCGCGCCGCCATGTACCTCGCCGGGGCAGGCGGGTCTGGGGTCGTCGTCGCGCGACTCGCCGACGGATCGTGGTCCGCACCCTCGGCCTTCTCCGTGCGCTCGGGCGGCATCGGGGTCGTCTACGGCGTCGACGTGTACGACTGCGTGTGCGTGCTCAACACGCAGGAGGCTGTCGACGCGTACATGACCAGCGAAATGACCATGGGAGCGGGTGCGTCAGTGGCCGCCGGCCCCATCGGCGGCACCGCAGACATCAGCACCAAAGAAGTCAACCCGATCTGGACGTACACAAAGTCCCGCGGCCTCTACGGCGGCTTGACCGTCGACGGCACCGTCATCAAGGAACGCCCGAGCATCAACGTCGACGCGTACGGGTCCGGAGTCACGGCGGCCAAGATCCTCAAGGGTGAGACGGAGTGGCCGGCAAAGACGCAGCTGCGAGAGGTCCTCAAGCTGGCTGGGGGGGAGAGCGCAGACGGGAAAGTTCTCGGGGCGATCAGCACGGAGCCGACGCCGGGGGATCTGAAGGAGTGATTACAAGACGTGGCATGGTATGACATAGCATGCATGGCATGGCATCAATGGGAAGATACAGGAATGTGTTTGCTTATCACCTGGGGTACATGGCAATGGGAAGATACATGGATGCTTTGTTTCAAGTGGGCGTTATATATACTACAGCGAATGGGCTGTTTGGTTATATTTATAATGGATTATTGCTCTTTGCCCTTTGCTCTGTATACGTGGTGCGTCAAGTCGAGGAGATTCTTTCCGTCCTCTATCGCTGTTGGGTCTGTGGCTGCACATGTATTGCTGAAGATCATTTTCTAGTGTTCCTATGCAGCACTCAAGAGGAGTAGGGACACTTGTCCTGTGTGTACAGCATCCTCGAGGGAAAATGCTACAGCCGTGTGGGACAATATTAAGTAAAAGACTGACTGACTGACTGCCTGACTGCCTAGTCGCCGATATTTCTCCCATTGACACCTAATTCGAATCTCCAACCTAGCCGCCTGGGTACCTGTTGACTCGTTCCATTGGTAGGTTTGATGATACATTTCCTCCTCATTCCTCACTATCAACCACCACCTCGTTGAAGAAGGAACTGGGATCCAGACAATCGGGGCACCAGGGCCTTGAGCTGAAATACGATTATGAAATTGAAACTGAAACTGGAATTGGAATTGGAATTGGACAGTCAAACAAAAACTCCCCCACAAGGACATGGATTGATCAACCAGCCTATCATTGTCGTCCTGGCAAGGATGTGATCAAGAATTTGGAATGACCGACACGGGCAAAAGGGCGAAAGGGTGAAAGAAGTGGTCCCTTGATCCCCCATCCCACCACCATCCACCACCCACAACCGCCCACCAACCGCCTCACGCCTCTTACCAAAGTAGCTAGGCTTTGGCGAAAAGGGCTGAAGATGCGCGAGGACGCCGACGTCTCGCTCCGCAGGATCCGGTGAGATATCGGTGGCCCACTCTCTTCGGCACTACTCGAGGTGAACAGGTCCCGCAGAACCGAAGTCCAGGCCCTGGAATGGTTCGAGGAGCTAGAGTGTCTGTACCTGAGACGGAGGCGGACAAATGACCCAGAAACTAGAGAGTTGATGCTAGGCCGGACAAGATCAACCCGTTCAAATGCCGAGACTCCATTGCCGTGTCGTATGCGTGGCTGCGGTCTTGACCAGAATCTGCTCTCGCCAACACTATATCAGACCACGTGGTCGGAATCTGACAAGCCAACACCTCCCTGCGGCTCGAACGTGTGAGTAGGGTCGTGGATGCCTTTGACGTGTCGATAACATTTGAAACAAAGATAAACGTATGGACACGTCGTGCAATGATGGCGCGTCCCGTAGATCAACTATCCATAGTTAGCATTTCCTCGGATTAGCACAGTACCGTAAATTTGGTAGTGCCCGAACCGACACTTACACAACAGCAACTAGCACAGGATTTGGCGGATACTTCCCACGCCTTCTTCGCTAGCCTCGATAGCTCATCTTCGTCAACATCAGCAACGCCCACGTCATCATAATTGGCTCAGGTAGGGGAAAAGTGTGTTTTTTGGTGCGAAATTGCAATATCTTCAGCCGTGTAGCCCTCAACGGTCTTGTCGTCGACGAAAGACTGGCCACCCGCTTCAAGAATGCGGCGAACAACTTCCGCATCCCATTGCCGGCAGGCCCAGTGCAAGGGGTTCCAGTCTCTTTGTCTACCTGTATTAGGTTAACTGAGTGCCCCAGAAGAAATCTGAGCGCGGGGAGTGAGCCAGCTGCTGCGGCAAAGTGAATGGGAACCCGGCCCTGCTTGTCCTTGGCTCCAAGGTTAGGAAGCAGCACCAACTCGAAGGCACGCTGGTTTGGGCCGGTCGCGGCGAAATGTGAGGCGAGTTTGCCCTCTACATCTGCATTTTTGACACTGATTCCCTTATAATCGCAGACCGCCATAATGTCCTCCAAGATCGATGCGCACGCATTGGCCACGGCGCAGTTGAGCAGATTTCCATAGGAGCCACCGGGAAACGTCGGGTTACCGCCCGTTCTGACGAGGAACTTGACCATCTTCAGCTGGTCCTCGGGCTCACAATCGCCCGAGATACTGGCTTCAGTGCTGTCCAGTATATTCCTCGTGTCAAATTCACATTGACCTTCCGCTTTTCGTGCGCCAGGAGCAGCTCGGCTACTTCGTGCAAGCAATGAAACGCCACATAATGAAGGGGACTGCCAATCTCAAGCACAGGATCTTCGAGGTCCGAAACGTTGGTGTCTTCAGGGTCAGCTTCGTGATCCAATAGTAGTGATATCATGTCAAGGTCTTTTTTCTGGACGGCGCGATTGAGAGCTGCCGACAAGTTCAGCCCAGAATCCTGGATGGACTCGGTGTTCTTGTTTTGCAGCAGATATCTCACCGCCTCAAGGTTCGACTACTGGACCATGGCGAGCAGACTGCACGTGTTGATCTTGGCTCCTCGAGGCAGAAGCAGCGCCGCATTCTGCGCGTGAGCCTTGGCGATGGCCAGATTCAACGGAGTCATATCATGCTGGTCTTTGGAATTGGGATCCCCACCGGCGTCCAGGAGTAGCTTCATCACACTCGCCTTCTTTTGGATCGTTGCCATGGCCAGGGCCGTCCACTTTTTCATACCTTTTAGTTCGAGATCAACCCTCCTCCTCAGGAGGATCTCGACGACCCGTTCTCTTCCAAGATAGGCCGCAAGGTGCAGAAAGGTATCGCCCACACCGTCGACATAGTCCACGTCTGCACCCTCATCTAGCAGGAGGGTAACAAGATCCGTGCGGTCGTCAATGGCAGCACGCTCTAGAGCCTCTCCCAAGGCATCTTTGTCATGCTGCTTTTCCAGCAGTGCCTTCGTAGCTTCCTTCTGATTACCCATCACGACGAGTTCGATGGACGTGAATGGATCTAGACGGGCCAGATGGTTCGCGTCGTGCATCAACAATTCCGAAACACAATCAGCGAATCCACGTTGTGCCGCTTCCGGAAGAGCCGTCCTGCGGTTATCATTGCTCACGTCAACGTGAATTTTGCCGTATTCTAGGACAGCTTTCCATACCTCATGAGTTCCTCCCTTGGCCGCTAGATGGAGAATGGTATTTTGACGATTGTCGACCAGATCGATCACGTCCATATTCTGAATCATGAGTAATGCGATGGCTGAGAATCCTTTCTCTGCGGCTAGCAAAAGCCCACCTCTCATTTCAAGGTCTCTGCTGTGAACAGGATCGTGTTCATGAGCGTCTAACTCGGTATCACACTCGCTCACACCGTGGGTTTCTCTAATTTTTGTTGCCCAGCCATTGGAAGCAGCTCCTTCACCAAGATCAAGGAAGAGCTTCGGGATCTGTGCCTGATTAGACCTGACCGCAACATTGAGAGCGCTCGTGTCGTTGTCTTGCTTTTCAAAAGGTGTTGCTCCAGCCTTGAGTAGCTCTTTCGCCACGTGTAGATATCGTGCTCACTTGCGCGACATAGTGGTGTCTTGCCGTCTGCACCGAGCCTGTTGGGATTGGAGATTCTGGGCAAGTGCTTCAGTACACTGCGGAGGCCGAATCTTGCTGCGATGGCGACTGAAGTGAACTTTTCCGAGTTTGACTTGTGCTCACCGACCAGCGTGAGGACACTTTTGATTATTTCACTGTCACCGGCGGTGACAGCCATATGGAGAACCGAGTATAAGGATAGGGTATTCCGACCGGTGGCACATCTGCGAAAGGCTCCAGCAGGGCTGTAGAGTCGACTTTGAGAGATGTCTGGCCTCGATCATTATCGAAAGAAGCGGTGTCAGTAGAAAGGGTAGACGTCGATATAAACCTGCCGATCGATTTCGCAACCGCCTCGTCGGAGACAAGCAAGGTTTTGAAGTTGGTATGGACGAGGGTCGATAGTGCACAGAGTCTGGTCGCAAGATCTTTTATGGCCTCTGGAATGGAAACTTCGCCCACTGAACCCTGAGACGGGTGGGAATACGTCGATACGCGATCCACTTCCAACTCATTGCGAGCAGAAGCAAAGCATAGGACACACACAATCGAGGGTTCTGAGTATCCTGTGAGAATCGCTGTCAGCAGCCTCCACAAAGGCCCGAGCAGATAAGTGGACTTTCTGACCAAAACTCGCACCACCTCAGTTTCGTCGTAGATGCTTTAGATGCTGGCAAATCTGTTAGGGAATCGCTGAAGGATCGGGACGATCAAATCAGAGAGGATCCCCGTCGTCGCTGGTCCAGTCAGTTGAGAATCGCCGAGCGTGGCTGACACGACTGTGTATTTCCTGAATGGTTCATTCCTCAACCCGGCAATGTAGGTCAGGAGGGCATCGAATATCCTTCTGTCAGCCAAGTTGGCTTGTGGACCGAGACACAAGCATGTCGACGTCTGCGACTGCAACCAACTCGTTGCCTGACTTTGCGAGAAGAAAACCCAACCCGAGCCAGAACCTGACGGGAGCCATACCAGGCATCCATATTGGATGATCCCAAATCTGCCGCCTCCCACGTCAAAGTTTCGACACAGCTTCCGGTGATAGCGAAAAAGCTCGAGAAGGCAAGTCTCCAGCCATGCCTCTGATCCACGCAGGTTTCTCAATCTCGTCACCAGTCCGAGCAAAGGTTGTCTCCCACCGGCGGTTCGATGTGCTTTCTCGGTGTGGTGTTCCAAAAAAAACACATTGTTGATCAGTCAAGAGGAAGCGAGGACGGTGGTCTACAACTTACCAGTGTGACACTGATAGAGCTGGTGCGGGGGCGAAATTCCCGATGACCTCTGGAAACTTGAGAAAAGCACATCGAGCAAGGCGTGCCAAGTATGTAGGCAGGCGCTCCCAACTCCACGACGTCAGCAGCCGCACCCAGCCTTGTCTTGGATACTTTTAGGAGGACGTCGTACCCAATACACAACCATTATACAACGCGTGTCAGAGCCCACGGAGCGGTCATTACATTCCTTCGGTTGCAATTATTTCTTACGGAACTTGGACACTTAAGAGAATATGAACAGCGAACAGCGAACAGCGAACAGCGAACCCTACGGCCAAGTTGTGGCATCCCCCCAGAGACTCCAGGCTCCCCAGAGCACACCAAGCGTCGCTCATAATTGCACAGCCGCTGTTTAGAAGAGCTTGGTCATGACTCAGGGTGCAGAGTTCGAGATTCGCTGGTGAGGATTGTGATATTGTGGTATTGTGGTATACATGGCTATGGTATTTTTCTCAGGAGTAACGCTTCGCCTGCCTCGCCCGCCTCGCGCCTATTTCCCTGGAGATGTACAAATAAGACCTTGTCCGAGCTATGATGGAGGCTTTGTGTTAGTTTATCTTCATGATAAAAGAGGGGGCTCGGAGTATGAACGTACAATAGGCAATAAACAGCACCGTGCGCGCTGGCCGATCGAGGCGCAGATACTTCCAAAGTCGTCGGTGCTGGTGGGCGCCGTAGGAGCTGTTTAGAGAGTCTCGTCAGCATCGACGCATTTCAAGTATTCACGTATTCAAAGTCACGTCTGATATCTTTGGAAAGTATCAAAGGAATCCGGGAGGGTGCACTTACGTGGCGCACAGTCCAAGTCGGCAACGCCCAGCACATCGGTCGCGCAGCACACGGCCGAGCTATCGGCGCCGGTGCACAGCGTCACCTGGCGGTCGACGAGGGCGCTTTTGCCCGGGATGGCGGAGGCTAGGACGGTGGTGGCGCCGGCGGCGAGGGCGATGGCCAAGGTGGTGAAGCGCATTGTGGTTGTGGTGAGGTGTTGGCTAGACCAGAGATAGGAGACGCTGTGAGAGGTTGTATGGAGTCTGGAGATGGTGTATTGTCTTGAGGAATCAACCAAGTAAACGCTGAGGTGGAGGGACGAAGATGGACAGAGAGCGAGGAAGCCCTCCTCCTGACACCGGTTCTCAACACAGCTTTATACTTGTCGAAAAGACAACCAGATACTGTCCAGTACTCGTGCCATGATCAGCTCAGTCGGTCGGTCGGTTCCTCCCAAATGCTGGAGAGCTTGAGACACGGATTCCTTGATCGTCAATGCATCACTTCGCTTCAGCCGAGCCGTGTTTGTGAACTGATGACGATCATCTGTTCCGCCGCTCTCAAGTCATATCCATGTCCATACCCCAGACCCCATACGACGAGATGATCCCAGTCACCAATCACCCAATCACGCATCGCCAGGAGACTCAGTACTGACTACTCTGCAGGTACTCCGTATGTAGGTAGGTGGAATCCCAGCCCTGCACGACCGTTGATCGACGCACTAGTCTTGGGTGCCCACGTCGTCGTACCTGCGTCGATCGCTGTTCTGTGTGTCCAAGGAATCGAATCTCGCCTTTACTGCGTTTGGTAGTTGATCCGGTGCGACAACAGGGGCCTAGACATGGAGCGAGAGCGGTAAAAGTCCTCTCCTCGTCTCGTAAGATGTGTGTCGCCGTGTGGGTGGATTGGTTCTCATCCCCTTGTCCCTGTATAGTCAGTTATATCCAAGAAATAAACGAGTTGAAGCCCAGTCTTCGACGTCGTGTATCCAACATCCAGGAACAAATGACGTTGCATTTCCACCAGGGCCGTCCTTGTAGAGGGCCGACCAACTAGGTAAGAAGATTACCGTTGTCGATCTTTATGGGGAGAGATCGACAGAGATCGACAAAGCCTTGCTCACTTCTTGGCCCGTACCGAGTAGGTTGTGTGGCTTTGCCCTGGTGGTCCTGAGACATTGTTCGACTGTCTGCGTGGGTTGTGAGCCACTCATTCACTGCCACTCATCTGCCAGGAACATGTCCTCCATAGACAAGGCACAGATTGACAGACAGGGCCAACCGGTTTAGGAGAATTAAAAAACGGTGATCGACGAGCATCCGTCCACCCATCCACCTTCTTCTTATTTGCCCCGGAAATTATTATCTCCTGCGCTAGTCATGCCTGCATTCTACCCGTCGACCCGTCTTCCATGCTGCCATGGCATTTGAACATTGTCCATCTTCCTGACACCCTGATTTCCTACCCGAGGTGTCTCTCTGTGAAACACTTCAAAGTTCACGAATCAGGACCCAAGGATCTTTTTCCTTAGGCGAAGTGAGGCGAGGCGAAGTGATGTCAACACCCGAGCGAGCACTTGGACCGAGTACCTACCGAGCACCTACCGAGTACCGCGAGTATTGTGCATGGCTTGATAGGCACGTACCAGGAAATCCAGGGAGTTGTTGTGATCGTCGAGGGAATCCCAACTCCCACCAGTCACGAGCCACAGGCCACAAGCCATATAAAGCGCATGGGCATACGTACTCTTACGTAAAAGTAGGAAATCAGCATGAGGCAAAAAGTCATGTCTGTCGACGGTCGTCAACACTGATATGCAGTTTGCTACTATAATTGTACCTCGTAGATACGACTATGTGGGCACATTGCAGATCTCTTTTCTCTTTTCCCTTTGTCCTGTTGTCTCATTGTCCCAGACCTGTCATACGCACACTGTCTCGCGAGTATTGACCAATTACCATTCGGTGGCTGTAGAGCAAAAGGATGAAGAGGGCATGACATGACGCCTCTCTCATTGTAACCGTCGCCGCAGATCCAGACTCATCCCCAGCACAGTAACGCTCGACAAGGCCATCATCGTACCCGCCGTGGACGCATCGACCGTCCCAAAACCCAAAAGCTCGCTGCCGCCCATGGCCAACGCAATCGCAAAGGCATTATAAAACACTGCCCAGTACATGTTCCACCTTGCCTGGGCCATCGTCTTGGTGGCGATCGTCATCAGCTTCGGCAGGGCGCCCAGGTCAGGTGTCATGATGATCACGTCGGCAGCGCAGGTTCCCAGTGCCAGCGATGCTGAGTCTGGGCGACGACCGGACAAGGGCGAAAGGGAGAAGAGAATGCCAACATCCGCCACAGCTTGGGCGGGTGCATCGTTTAAACCGTCGCCCAGCATCGCCACAACATTTCTGTCGCCTTTCTTCGCGGAGGATAGTCGTAGAACCGAGTCAAGAACGTCGAGTACACCAAAGCCATTGCTCACACCTCTCTTATATTGACCTTTGCTTTCACAAGCACGCTGTGACTGCACCGACACAACCAACTCCCTCTTCTCGTGGGGTAGAGATTTGGCGGCAAGGACCGGTATCTGTAACTGCGACGAAACTCGATGTGCTTCAGTCTCCGAGTCGCCTGTTAGCATGGTCAACTTCAGACCCAGCGCCTTCAGCAATTCGATAACCCGAGGAGCTCCCTGGCGAATGGTATCTTGCAGCGTAAAGAAACCTGCGTACTTGCCATCGATGGCAAAGTAGACCTCCATTGTTCCTCTGGCGGCTCCAGACTGACCTGTGGTGGCTGGGGCGATGGAAATGCCACTCTCGGAGAGAAAACGGCCGCTGCCAATATGCACAGTGTACCACGCCATAGCCGCCCCCTGGACTTCTGCATACACACCCTTGCCTGTGATGCTGGACACGTTCCTGACTGGTGCAGTACCTGGCTCAGTTTCTCTGCCACGACCCTCCTTGAACTGTGGCACTTCAAGAAGCTGTCTGACACACCACTGAAACACTGCCCGAGCAACGGGGTGCGTTTGTGAGACCTCCCTCTCCGCAGCGCTCAAGAGGCTGTAGCACAATTTCCTCTTCCCCGGATCCGTGCCGAATGGCTCAGCAAAGGTCTCATGCGAGATCCGAAGTCTACCCTCTGTCAAAGTTCCTGTCTTGTCCATCACCACGTGCGTTAGGAGAGAAAGGTTTTTGAAAGCTTCCACCCCGCCTGGGAGAAGAATTCCCGACGCATACGCCACGTCGACACCGGCCATAATCGCCGAAGGCGTCGCTAAGCCAATGGCACATGGACAAGCCGAGGCCAAAATGGCCATTGCTCGCTCCGATGCAAGGTTGAGTCGATCAGTGATAGGCAGTGAGTCTGCCGAGAAAACAAACGTGTATACGAAGCCCAACATGGTCAGCACAAGGATCGTTGCGACGAAATACCTCGTGATGAGATCTTCTGTGGCTATGCCTGGCTGATCGTCCAAACCCTCGCTGTTCTGCGCGCGGTCATACTTCTGCTCCGTTGATGCTTCCACGCTTGCCACAAGTCTCTCGAGACACGAGTCTGCTTGGTCTTTCAGAACGACAGCAACGAGTTCAGTAGACAAATTGCGAGTCCCGGACATGAGGAAATCACCAACAGTTTTGCGCGATGGGAGCGACTCGCCACTCATGCTCGCCTCATCCACCAAAGACGTCCCACGCACCACGTAACTGTCACACGGGATGAGACTTTGAGCCGAAATATGATATGTGTCCAACGGCTCAAGAAGATTTGTGGGAATCCGAGTCGCCATGGCTTCGCCTCTCTCATCTGATCCGGTGTTACAGTCCTGCAACCGCCCCTCCAACAACACTGTCTCTAATTCCACTTCGGTCTGCAATCGAAAGAGGCGGGCGAGCCCAGCCGCACCCTGTCTCCGCAGCGTCACGTCGAGATACCGTCCCCCGCTGATGACCACTGCAAGAAAAGACGCCGAGGAGAAATAGGTTTTGGTGTGGACACCAGAGAGACCATGTAGGGCGATGTTGAAGAATGAAAGGAAAATACTCAGCAGCAGTGACAGAGACAAGAGAGTGTCCATGGACAGGCTCGGAAGCTGCAGCCGTTGTCGAGAGAAACAGCTTGCCCACGCATTGCGATGGATCCAACTCGCATGAACAACCTGGACGTAACATCCAATGGCAACCGTCAGGAGGCAGAGGAGCGGATCCAGGGCGTTCCTGAGTTGGGCTGTCATGGAGACCTTCCTCACCCAATCAATAATCGCAATGGCTGTAGCCCATTTTGCTGCCCCGTTGAAAGCTTTCTTCAAAGCCTGCAGTTCTTCTTCCCGCCGAACGAGTTTGAGATTCTGGGCGGCAGACCCACGATTGTGCTGTCCAAGCAGCTCGGCGGTGTAACCTGCATCTTCAACGGCCGAAACCAACTCCGCTGTTGACGTTTTGGTGGCATCGTAGATCACAGTGGCTCGAGACAGTGGCAGAGACACGTTGGTTCGGATGACAGCTGGGACAGATGCCAATGCGCGGCTCAGGGTTGATACGCAAGCGGAGCAGGTCATCCCAGTAATCAACAAGCGAATCGTTAGTGGTTCATTTTGGAGTTTCTCCCCTTGCCTTGGAATGGTATCGCCTCTGGGAGCTACTGCTGTCACCTGCTTGCCCGGGTTTATGTACGGGTGGAAGCTGGGAGGAGAATATGGGTCGGGATCGGAATCGTTGTACTTGATATCGACGAGGCGAATGTCGAAGAGCTCGCACGCCTTGATGATGCGGCTCATAAAGTATGCGGTAAACACACAGCAAGCCATCTCTTCTCGCGAATTTCGACCAGAGTGTACAATTCGGCAGTCCTCATTCAGTGTCCATCAGACAGGTTGTCACCCTAACTCCAGTGAGTCGCAGAGACAGACATTTCTTGAAGCGGTGCTTCAGGGGAACACGTCGATCTGAAGTGCCAGGATATTCTTCAAGCCATAGTTTATCGAAGTCAGTGCCTGTGTAGACACCGTTCTCTTTCGTGAAATAGAATGCAAAGGACAAAAGTTCAACACATGCTGTACAAGAAGTCGATTCCCTAGATGTCCAGGATAAACTTCTGCATAGAAGACATTAGTCACTCCGCCCCGAGTCATAACTGGCATCTCGACTGCAAGGCCGGAAATCGAGTCAGTCGTCAAGACGACATCATTGCAAGGGAAAACCGAGGTTAATCGAGGAGACACGTGACAAGGGGTTTCGTTGGCTTGCCAAGGACAAGGCTGAGAGACAAGGCCGAACAAGATTGAGATGGTTGCAACAAGGCTGCGTGTAGGAACCAACTATCATGAAAGAGTAATGACAGGGTCAGGTGAGGAATCATTGTCAGACTCCAACGCATCTAGATCTGTCCAAGTGGTATATGGCTCAAAATCAGCCCAATTCCCAACATCACATTCCCGGACATGCTCTCGTTACTCCATTTCTCCAAATTGCAAAGAAGTCGCTATCTCAAAGTGCCATATCATAAGCACCGCTGTCATCCGCCATGCCGCGACTCAGAAAAGGATATCCCAAGCAACTTCGTCAAAACTCCCTTCGTGGGAGGGGTATTTGTTGTGGGGTCCAGAAAGGACAGATGGGAAGTCATGTCTGTCAGTCGACTCGAAAGATAAAGTGAGTGACTGCATTGACCAGATACTCCAGTCGAACTGTCTGCTCCTCTGAGCTTAGAAGTCTGAAAGTGAGAGACTAGTGTCTCGTATTAGATCATGAGTAGGTAGACGCCATGCGGTGCCTGTCTGTAGGTCTAGCGGAATGGCTGCAGATAGCTTTGTCGACCCTCGGCCACGTAACTTGACAACTACTCACGCAACATGAGCAGGTGGTCTCCCTCGTCGCTGCTCATGGCTCCTGGTCGATATCAAGTGATCAAGCTCCCCGAGGTCGTCTTCTGCCTGACCAGGCTCGCTGATCAAAACTTAGAACGCCTTCGATATACAGATATCCAAAGATCGTCACAAAAGAAACTCGTCGATACATAAGATCTCCGCTCATGACATCCGAGCATAGTCCTGAGGGTTGTATCGGTACTGTTGTTGTGCCATTTGCTGTTGAGCTTGCGCTGACATAGCGTTTGGGTCTGGGCTCCGAGGCGATCTGTTGGGCGCATGTGCCATGCCTGCTGGTAATTCGGCCATGAATGCTCGTTTTTCCATGCCAGGCGAGACCATCCCGTTGTGGGCGACAGAGCTCGGCATCGAACTGACAGACTCGGCATAGCTTTGCCGGTCTGACTGGCTGCTAGTGTGTGGGAAGTCACTTTGGTTTGGAGAGCTGGCAGACAGTTCAGAGACTGCCGACGAGAACCGGTTGGGATGCAGTTGTTGATGTTGCTGAGGCGGGGGTGGTTGGATGAAATGCGTGCTTCCCTCCATTTCAATCGCCAGACCTTGGCTCTGCTGTGCTGGTGAGTATTGTGGGCCAGGAGCGCCGTACATGGATTGTCTTGCATATGCCGACTGTTGAAACGCCGGGACAGCCGGGGATTGAGGGAAAGCGGATTGCGGAAGGGGGGAGAGCATGGACGGGGAATAATGGCCTTGTTGTTGGAATGTCTGCGAGCGATCTGCAGGATTCAACGTCTTGAGTTTGCCGTCTTCCATCATGGCACTCAGCACACCAGCGTCGATCAGTTCGGCCTTTTTCACCAAGCGGTCGACCATGGTCTTCGAGGCGGCCTTCATCTCCTTCTTTACAAATGACACCATGGCGGGGTTACATTTGATTTCAATGTCCTCACGTAGATAAAGACCCTCGGGAGGGGCATTGCTTCCCAGCTCTCTCGACTCGGGCGGCTCGCCTGGTTGATTGCCCCGAATCTGCCACTTGTTGCGCAAGTCCACGCCCATAGGCGCATAGACATGTGTCTGTAGACCCCACGGCATATCGTGGAAGCAGCCCTTGAAGGATATCTTGCCCGATCCCGCTCTTCCTATGCCCGGCACATACTGGATCCTCTCATTGATTTCGTACCACGTGGAGAAGAATTCATCGGCGGGCGCACTCTGAGGGGCTTTGATGGGTTTGTAGCCGGTGACGAGGGGGTTCAGCTCGATAATCTCGCCATGACTGTGCAGCATGTCAATGGCCAGTTGACGGGGGATGTGCGAGGGAATCGGGGTGATGTTGGTATAGACAGATTTCTTTTTCATCATGGCGACGGTTGGCGCACTCGAGGCACCGGTATGAGGCTAGAGGTGAGGTCAAGGTATTCGCGGGACACGATGACGACGGCTGCGTTTGTTTGAGAACAAGTCTTGGATGTAATTTCTGTCTGGGTTCAACAAAACCAAAAGCTGCAAAGAAATCGCAGGCAGAAAGTTGTCAGATTGCGCAGGCCCAGCTGTGACGGGGGTTTATGCAGTAGTAGAGCCACCGTTTCCCCCAGGTTCCAATTTTCCAAAGCTGACAAGAAGCTGAACCGGGAAAAGGCCAGCGCACGCCCTCGCGAACCCAGGATATGCTGGAGGCGAATAATAACCCTGGCCTTGTAGCGGAGGGGAAATGGATGGAAGTCTATCCGGGAAACCAAATACGGGCTTGTGGCGGCCGGCGGACTTTTGGCTTCTCAGGCCCTTACAAGATGATTCATTCAGTAGGATTCTGCGGGAATTGTTTCGTGAAGCGACTATGCCTGCTTAAGGCCGGGTTTTGATTAAATAATACATGTCTAAGGACCCGGTAGACGGCTCGACGGTTCACCAGCGGAGGTTCTGGAAGGGAGGCGTAGGCGGCTCCATTGCTATAATAATCTAGGGCTGCAGCGATCGCTAGCATCAAGTCTAGAGACGCCCCTCCTATCTCCTCGTATACTCCTACATCCGTGACACAACACCGCTCAAGTAGAGCCAGAATGATGGTCCAGGCGGCTGGCAGTTGGCAGCTAACAGCCCCCCATGAGGAGGCCTGAAAACTCTGGGCGCTGATCAAGTCTGATTGCACCCATGGGCATCTTCGCCGTCCCTCCCAAGGCGTCCCTGGGCGTCACACGAACGTGGCGGAGTGGAACAGGGTCATCATCTAAATATCTCGGCTGCGGCATGATTGGCTGCGCATCAGCCACAGCCCACGTCCGACGCGCACTGAAGCCGCATGCGAGGGAAAAGGCGAAGAAGATTTCTGCTCAAGGGCTCGAAGAGGAAGGTCCCTTTGTCCATTTTATTATTGCAGGTGTCGAGATGTTGGATTGTCGTCGTTGTTGCTGCTGCGAAAACCCCTTTTCGGTAATTTCTGAAAAGCCGGACCACTTAAGCACCATGGCCCCAAGGCACGGGCATCACGGAAGTCTTTAATAGCGAAGATTTATTTGTCATCCTAGGTGGCCCCCGGCACCCTGGTCTTAGAAGTCGTCATTCATATACCGTTGAAGCCAGGCGGTCCGGCCAATCCGAGATCGAATTCTCTTGCCATATATCCTGTGCAAGAGTCAGCCTTGTGAAGTTGCTATATTGCCAAATCCGTTGGCAATGCGAAAACTCACCAGAGAGGGATTGTCAAGAGACAGACAAACAAGAAGAGAGCTCCTAGAATGCAAAATACCTCCAAGGGGCCATCTCGCGCAAGCCAATTGTTGACAAAGTATGTCAGGCCAAAGGTCAAGAGATTCCGGGCGTTGATTGCAACGAATGCTTCCTCATTCAACTTGGGGTAGGAGTCGATCACGTAACCAAAGACGCAGGTCGATGCAAAGGCCAGGCTCATATTCGCAAACCCAAATGTCAAGACTGGTCCCAGCCAATGCGTCTGGTAATGCACAGTCGCCCCGAAACCAAAGAATCCAACCGTGCCGAGGATGATGACAACGATGATGAGCACCAGTCGGAATTCAGGTTCGTAAATTCCTTTGTTCTTCTTCGTCAAGTAGAGACAAATTGCATCGTTAAGGGGTCCAGAGATGACCTCTCCGATTAACGTCAAGATAAATGGCGACAAGCTGATCAACCCGACTTGCGACACCGAGAAGTTGTAAGGCGGGGCGACACTGCAAATATCGGTCAGCCTTCGTCAGGGGTCGACTGAGTCCAGAAATACAGAAAGCCGCGGGAAACTCACAAAATCACTCCATTGACCACAGCTGCAGATAACGAGTTAGCCTTGATCGATCTGAGAATGTCTGAACCAAGCCAAGCACTTACAGAATACCACAATCCAAGTCAAGGTGGTGCCATACATGAGGAAACCCCAAAATACCGCCGGATAAAAGAAGAGCAACACCGGCCGGGTAAAGATTTTGTAGATCGGGGCATAGCTATATCGACCAGTGAAAACCCTCAGCGACCGCGAGAACGACATCTTGGGTTCGTTCGAACCACGTGTGACGGTGTAAGACAAATGTTTGTCCTTCTCTCCACGAGCTTGAGAGATGTCATGTTCGTGTCCCAGCTTCATGTGGACATGTTGCACACCCGGCTTCTCGGGGTCAGTGTCGACGGTATCTGCCACCGGCACCACCACGACAGCGTCTCGGCGATACGTGGTCTCGGGGACAAGAAAGAATACCGCGAACATGAGCACACCGAACATGATGGCGCATACTCCGAAGGTCCACTGGTACCCGTCATATTCGATTATGTATCCAGCAACCAAGGCGCCACCAGAGATTCCCTGATGTCGGGTCAGTCCACAACACTTTTGAGAAGACAAATATGTTGGTATTCATCGAGACATACTGTTAGGAGAAACAAATTCCACACTGCGATTCGGGTAGCCCTTTCATGGACAAAGTAAAGGTCACCAATTGTGCATTGGACAAGTACCTATGTTTGACACGATTAGCACAACTCACAATTCCAGGGTTGGATCTCGAATACCTCGTACGGAGCCATGCCCACGCCACTGATGACCCTGGAAGCCAGAAAGCTGCTATAATTGCCAGCCTTTGCACCCCAAACAGAACAAGCGAACATGACGCAGCTCGCAAGAATATAGATTGGCCTCTTCCCGTATATTTTGGCCAGAGGATTGGTCAGGAACAATCCCAGTCCGATGGTGAGGATTAACCACGCGGTAGCCTGGGACAGGATTTCAACCGTGATGTGAAGTTGAGCTGAGATCTCCACAAAACCAGGACTCAACATGGGGCCGAACGCGCCCACGACGGCAGCGGAGAGCGAAACGATGAGGAGAATCATTTCCTTCTTCCATTGTGGCCAATTCAGAGGATCGTTTGGAGAGTCCGACGGTTGAGGAATCAAGATGATGTTTGAAAACCTGCCCTTGCCATGCTTCAACAGCTCTCGCGGTACCTCTGCATATTCCGGTGGTAGGTCATCCTGATCGCTCATGAAAGACGTGCCAGGCACATTTTCCAGTTTTTTGCAGTCGAGGATTCCGAATGGCATGTTGAAAAGAAATGACGCTATCGAGGTGAATGCCAGTGGCAAGGCTGGGAGGGAAAGATTTCACTCTACCCATGGGCAAGCTCAAGCTTAAGTATTGAAAGATGTCCGGAAACGCCCTCCGCACTTTTGGATGCAGCGGTTGTTATGGTGGCGTCGAAGCCCCTACAAGTGTTGGAACATGTGCGAGAAGCAGGCAAAGACTGACTGTCCCACCGTGTGACACACCAATAGACACAGGCGAGGGGACTGGAAGTGGTACATAGAAGGTTAGTGGCATCAAGCCTTTCTCATGCACCTAAATCGTCTCAATTCAAGAATGCACCACAGCAACATCGCGAAAAGGAATAGCAGGGGATGCCGGAATACTCCCACTGACGAGCATTTCTCAGCGGTGCCAGGCGTATGCCAGGTCAACATTGGGATCGGCGGTGCACACTGGTGTACATTGAGCAAGACGCAGTGGACGCATTAGGACTTGCATCTACCCCAGCTCGACCAAGTGGGATATTGTGGGGTTCATCATCGGATGGTGCACTGTCGTCGATCACTCTTGTAAGACTTGTGGCTGGAATTCCATCTCTTTTTCACGATTGCGACACTCAGTTTCGAAGACGCCTTTGTTGCGACAGTATTCCGGCAGTTGAGCTGCCTCTGGAAGTGTGGAGGCACATCTCAGCTCCGTGTCGGCCGCGCATCCAAGGCAATACTGCCTTTAGAGCATAGGTGTTAATGAAGCAGTGGGTTTAGTGTAGGTACCTTTGCTACGTGCCCTCCAACATGGACCACACATTGGCTTGTGCCTTTGTTCGACAGCGATTCGGTCTTCTTGCCTTGAGGATGTGTGTCAGGTAAGGGGTGGCATAGAACCGAAGGCCAATTTGGCGGCTTCAAAATATACAATCTGCGTCGACAGCAACATTTTCCTCTGTAGATGAGTCAGTCAGAAGGTAGCTGTAGGGAGGCCTAGCAGATACCAAGAACAGGCAATATGTGAGGCGCAGATGGCTGCAATAGTTGAAGAGTGACAATCAAGAAGTCAGAATAAGACTTTGGTGGACAAAGTGAGAAGAGCCGCATCGAGCCTCTGCCTGCGGGAATTGCCCGACTCAATCATCTTTACTCGTACTTGTTCCTTCGCTCACAATACATGGTTAACACTACTGCTTGTACTACTGCCGCTGCTGCTTGCGTCACATCCTCTATGCCAGCTGGTCAATCTCTTGAGCAAGCATCGTCTGCACTCCATTCGAAGCCGATACCTCTGACACGCTGTCACTCTTGACCGACACGCCTCGATCCAACTTCTTCAGCACATCGTCAACAACCTCATACGCATGTTTCTCTGCGTCAAAATCCAAGAGCCACGCCTCGCGCTTCAAGTGCAGAGATTTGACATCCTTCCAGATTTTGTCCCAGTCAGCCTTGTGCCACTGCTCTCGCGTCGTAATACCAGTCTTTTGCGCCCGGTGGACACGCTCATATCGGATGGCTTCAAAGGCGCGAATGGCCCGAGGAACATTGTCTTTGCCGCTCTTCTCGAGTGTGATAGCCAGGGTCACTCCATCCTCCATTGATTGGCTTGCTCCTTGGATTGATGTTGGCAAAAAAGGGTGTGCAGCATCACCGATCAGTGCAATCCGAGCCTTGGGGGAGATGAAGGTCGGCAATGGATCTCGAAAGACCAGTTTATAATCGACGAGCCGATCTGGCGGGGTGGCGTCGACAATGTCGTGGACTATAGGGGCCCAGCCTTGCAAGTTCCGCTTGACTTCCTCCTTGTCACCAGGGAATTGCCAATCCTCATCAATGTCTGCATCATCTTTGTGTGTCAGAACCCAGCTGAACTCTGTGCCATTCTTTATTGATGCAGCGAGGAAATGCTTGTCCTCGCCAATCTGAAGTGAAAGTCAGAGACGGAATCATCGAGTATAAGAGCAGCCTGCTTACCCATCCAGAATGACTATCGCCGTTCACCACCAAATGCTTCGTTCTCTCATTCTTGGCTAGATCATCGGATGAAAACCAGGATCGATATACAGCATATCCTGAGGGTTTCGGTCGATCTTCGAACCCCAGCACAATCTTCCTTCCCGCTGACTTCACCCCCTCGGCCGCAAACACACAATCGGCCACCAGCTTCTCGCCGTTCACGAGCACGCCCGCTTCTGTGTCGGTCTCAAAATAATCAGTCACTTGTTGACCGAGTCGGATGTCAATCCCCCTTGCTTTGGCATGCTGGAAGACAACATGATGGATCTCCCCCCGGTGGCCATTGATGCGTCTTCCCCATTGCTTCTCGACATCCCATATTTGCCTCGTAGCAAAGTTGCCTTTCCAATCGTAAAAATCGAGCCCTTCACTATGGTGGCTGATTGGTTCAAGCTCGTCAACCACACCTTCCCATCGTTCAAAGATATGACCGGAGTTTGATGAGAAGCTAATGATATCCCCCAAGGGCTTCAACTCAGGTACTCTCTCGAGTAATATCACAGAATGGCCCTTTCGATCACATTCTATGGCCGCACATAGTCCAGCAAATCCAGCTCCCACGATGATCACCTTGATGCCGGAGGGTGGTAACCTTGCGAAGCCGGGCATCTTTCGAGGTTGTTTTTACCTTAATGCTTTGTTACCAAATGACGATGACAAAGCAGACTTAGGGGATCCTTCTATAGAGTCGGCACAAAAGGGTTCCTGATCAGCCTGGATGCAGGCTGTTGTATGTCTGGTCCCCCATGTTCTCTCGGCCCCAGGCTTCATCGACTCTCCCCATGGCTTTCCCACGAGCGAATTGCCACCAGTACTATCCACTGACCAAATCGGGAATTGATGCACGGCATATCGAGAATGGAAGTTTGAGATGGGGTTTTCCGGTGCCTTGTCAGCACTCATCAACTGCCGAAGATCTCGACCATAGCCGGACTCTGGCGAGCAATGGGCCTTCTCCGCACAAGCATTGCCGCCCCACGAAGGCCGAATCTTCTCTCCACGAAAGACAGCGCCGTCGATGTGGCACGTCTCTTTCCCGCCAATGACGAGCGTGCCATTGACCTAAAAGAAGTGTGTTAGGCGCAGCCTGGTATCCCGAAGCGGTGGAGGGGGATACAAAGGTTGGTGACGGCAATGCTCCGGTACCTCCCCAATTTTCCTGCATTCTCTCTTTCTGTGCTGCCTCCACGGAATATTCGTGAAGAAACTATTTTATCGGTGTGAGTTTTGGTTCTTGTTGTTTGTTACTGCTTCACTGAAACTAATAGGCGGTCACGCTGGTCCAGGATAGAGTGAGTATATCTGACAGGGATTGAAGTGAGATACATACCACCACTGGTGCTGCCAGCAACGATGAGCTGGTCTACCGTCTTTTACATCTGGTCGGGCGTGACGGGTCTATTGTTCCTGGGCGTGCTTGGTGTTGTGATCCACGATGTCATCCTCTGGAAGCGAATGCCTCCGGGCCCTCAGCCTCTACCGTTCATTGGCAACAAATTCGACATTCCAGCCAAGTACCCGTGGATTCAGTTCCAGGAATGGTCGAGGAAGTACGGGCCAATCTACACCCTGTGGTTCGGCCGACGTCCGACTGTGATCATTTCCGATCCCAATGTGGCTGTCGACTTGCTCGAGAAGCGCTCCCACAAGTACAGCTCACGCCCCCGTTTCGTCACCATGGGCGAGATCTTCTGGGACATGAGCAGCATCCTCGTGCAACCGTACGGCAAGGACTGGTCCGTGCGTCGGAAAGCCCTGCACAGCGTGCTCACTCAGAAAGCGCTGCAGCACTATAAACCTGTCCAGGAGGCCGAAGCCGCACGTCTCTGTCACCATCTCCTCGAGCAGCCGGATGACCTGGACAATCTTCTGAACCGCTTCACGGCTTCGATCGTCTTCACCATCGCCTACGGACACCGCATCGACAGTATGCAATCACCTATCATACGCCAACGGATGAAAATCATGCATTGGAGTGCTTCCCTCAACGTCCCCGGTCGGTACCTCGTCGAGTCATTGCCCTTCCTCAAACATGTCCCCGACGCGTTGGCGCCGTGGAAGCGCGAGATCAAATCCTGGGGCAGGGAGGAACAGGAGGCAAACGCCCAATTACTCGACTACGTCCGCGAGGATATCGAAAACGCAAAGATGCCCGGTGCTCCGCCGCTCCCCAACAGTCTGGCGAAGCAGCTGCTGGAAAACCGCGCCGCAGACCCTTCGGCGTTCGCCCTGCTACGTGAGAGAGATTTTGCCAGTTTGCCCGCCTCGGTGTTTGGGGCCGGCGCAGACACCACCTCGTCTACTCTTTCCTCCGCCATTCTGGGCATCATAACCCACCAAGAAGTCCTCGCGGCTGCGCACGCCGAGCTCGATGCGGTGATCGGTCAAGACCGCCTGCCAGGCTACACGGACGAAGCCTCCCTGCCGTACATCAGAGCCATCGCCAAGGAGGCCCTTCGCTGGCGCCCAGTCGCCGTGCTGGGCGGGACACCGCACGCGAGCACCGAACCAGACAACTACAACGGGTATTACATCCCCAAAGGCACCAACATCCTCGGGAACAGCTGGGCCATCAACCGCAACGAGCAGTACTACCCGAACGCCGACCACTTCAACCCGCTGCGCTTCCTCGACGCCGAGGACCCCGCATCGCTGGGCTACCTGCCCAAGGAGTACCTCGCGTCCACGCCACTGGAACGCGGCGCTCCCCACCCCTCAAAATCCGGCCACTCGACGTTCGGCTGGGGTCGTCGCATCTGCCCCGGCGCCGACCTGGCCTCGAACAACCTGTACATCGCCCTGGCGTGTCTGCTGTGGTGCTTCGACATCCGCCCGACGAAGGGCTACGTGTACGACACGTACGACTACACCGACGGCTTCAACATCCGGCCCAACCCCTACAAGTGCGACATCACCATCCGGAGCGACCGCCACAGGGAGGTCCTGGAGCGACACTACCAAGAGGCCAAGGAATATCTTGTGACGCACTTCCCCTTGTTCAAGGAGCACGAGATTGTGGTCTAGACGTGTTGGCTGAACTGGCGACGTAGAAGGAGGGACGGAGGGTAGATGCGTCGGAAGAGGCCTAGTGGGAGGGCGTGGCGTGGCGTGGTGAGTTTGGGAACCGTAGATACTTTATGCGCCGCGGTGAGATAGAAGATGACCCAAGCAAGGAAATGAGATTGATCCTTCGGCCACGGAAGTAGGTCGCCCGCGAGGGGATCGACGAAGAATTGAGTGACCTTTGCTTTCTAGACTTTTCAGCCCCAATAGATTCTATTGCTGGGTAAACAAAGGTTGTCTGTCATCTGAGGAATATCCCCGTGTTTGAAGCACCACCGATTATTTTCAATCGTCTCTTGAACCACGCACTGTTCAGCCCGCTCCCTGCATGCGCCTGATCCGCTCTTCGGCCGCCCTTGCCCTCCGTTCCCTCTCTAGCCTCATGCGCATTTCGGGTGTCAGTCCACGCACCTCTTCCTCTCTCTTATCCGCCCCGGTCTTCTCCACTGCGGCTGCGAGCGCCTTGCCTGCTCCGGCTTTCTTCTCGATCCTGTTCACGTTACGCTTCTCCTCTTCCAGTCGGAGATGTTCGAGGCCGGCTTTTCTGCGCTGCGCCTCTGCAGCGTCAGAGGCCGCCTTCTCCTGTGCCGCCTTTGCATCGGATTCTTCTTGTGAAAGAGGTGAGGCAACATGCGCCGCAGACCAGTCGAACGCCTTTTCTCCAAGCTGGTGTCGAGCGATGCGGAAGGCGTCTCTGGTTTTGGTGTCGCCTGCGATTTCATATGCTGTCTTGCCATCGCCGTTCTTTATAGTAGGATCGGCGTGAGCCTTGGTAAGGAGGGCTAGAACCAATGGCGGTGAATTTGTTGATGCGGAGAGGTGGAGTGGAGTAGGCGCGTGATGGTGGTCGGCAGGAGGGTAAAAGGTGAAATCTGGGGATAGTTCGTTCTTGGTTAGATAGAGTAGGACTCCAGGTGCCTTTGAACGCCGTATAAGGGCTTGAAGCTGAGAAGTATGAAACTGAGCGGTTTCCTCTTCCTTGCTAAGCTTCGGTGCTTGAGGTTTCGGTTTCGACTCTTTCGCTGCAGCTTTCTCGGATATATTCTTCTCAGCGATCGGCTCAACAAGTTTTCCCACCTTCAGTCGAGTGAGCTCTTGAAACGAACGCAAAAGCTCGCCTTGAGTGGCCCGACGTGTGCTGAATGGGAACCCACGTATCCTCTTGTCATTGCTTCTCAAGACTTGACCTTCGTAGGGGCCGAACAAAGTCCTTCTGTTGGTACTTCCGGTAGCCCGGATGAAGAGCAACTCGGCGGCGTCGATCATGCCTTTCCATTCTGACAACACTGCTCTGACGTCGGCTTCCAAGGCCATCTCATTGTATCTGCGGATGGATGAACCCGCTGAGTGGGCGTTTCCTTTCGCGTTGTCGTTTGCGGATTGAGAACCACCTTGTTTCCGCCTCGTGGTATATCGGTGAAAGGTCTTGTGGGCCTTAACGACTGGGTGACGCTCCTCGATGCCACCAGGGCCTTTTCTCAGTTCCGGTACCAATGAGATGACCATAGCAGCGAAGTGACCGCCCCCGATCATGCAGAGGAAAAAATGGGGATCGGTTCTCATCGCTTGTGATGAGTCTCCTTGCGACTTCCCACTGTGTTTGGCAACTGTCGGTTTAAGCTGCTTCTTTTTGAGAATGTCCACAAGAGAGGTGGATGCCTGGTCTTGCTCCTCGGTTGATAGGATGGCTCGATAGACGCCTAACCCGATATCGTTTCCAAGTTTTGGAGTTGTTAACCATAACAGTGGTGCACTACCAAACGAACGCTTTTTGGAGTCTTCAGTGGCGTCGGCGAACTGCTGATGAGATATCCTAGCCTGGCGTCTGAGCAGAGCAGTTAGTGTGCTGTCGCCGCCTTTGGCCTCGCCCTCATCTTCCTCGTCAGAGCCCTCCGAGTCTGATCCCGAGAGTGACTCGTCCAGGTCACCGATCAGTTTAATGAAAGTGGCCTCATCCACCGGAGGGAGTTGTTTTATGGTGAGTTTGAGGTTGTATCTGTGGAAATCCGACTTGACATGCAGTCGCTGGTCTTGGACATTGTCGAAGGAAACTCTACACAGTGCACATGATGTTGGGGCCGCAATGCCATCTTCGTTAGGACTGCTCTCTCGACCTGTGGGTATTGACTCGGGGAGTGAGTTTTGTGGCTGTGTCTGTGGCTGCGACTGCTCCTGTACCTGTCCCGCTGGAGTCAAGGAAAGCAGCAGTTCTGGCGGAAGATCGTAGATGTACAAAGGACGGCGCAAAAGAGGGTTTGTATCGGAATGAGCCTTGTCAGCCATTCTGCACTCCGACCAATGGTCCATGCGCTGAGCCTGTTCTTTTTGTGGTATGTATCTGCACTGATTCTTCCTCTACATGAGAATCTCTGCCTGTAACTTCTGCGCAGTCCCCCAAAGACGTCATAGGCGCTTTCATCACGTGGTCTCGCGTCAATCCGCCACGTGCAACTTTGAGTTTTGGCCCCCGACGCGGCGAGTGAAATTGAAGCCTGAAGCTTTGCCCGTTTCTCACCTGCACATCCACACCAAACATCCACTCACCCAAGGACCCAAGCAACTGCCTGTGAAAGGCCAAGCTGCTGCCTTTCCCTTGTTACGCTTCTTGCTCTGAACCGGGGCTGCCCTGTCTTCTTCTTAAAATGTCATAAATCAGAAAGGTCTGTCACTCTCACCTCGTAAACTCTCGCAACCTCTCTGAATCCTACTCCTCAAGCAAGGATGGTTCGAATCAAGCCTCCTCAACCTGCTGTGCCCTCTTTAGACGGTGTCATCGTCAGCTTCGCCTCTTACACCCCCAGCGCACACCCTGAACTCTCGAACAAGAGTGTTGCGCAACTGAAGACTGACATCTCCAACTGTGGCGGTTTCTACACACCGAGGCCGGGAGAGTGTACACACCTCATCACCACTCACGTTCAATTTGGCAAGAAGCTTGATCGTATCACCCAGGCTCAAAAGAATCCTGACACTCTCATCGTCTCTTACGAGTGGCTCGCAGCGTCTCTAGCTTCGAGCGCTCCGGTAGACGTCGAACAATATCTTCTGGAGAGCTCGCCTGCAGATGATGACGATACAGTGAATGGTAACGGTGCGCAAGCCTCTCAGAAGACAGCTGCCAGGTCGTCAAAGCGCTCACGGAAAGATGACGACGACGAGGATAACCCGGTACCGACAAAGAAATCCAAGCCTGCCAAAGCAGCTCAATCACCGATCCCCACAGCACCCAAGGCGATTGAAGTTCCAGTGGATCAGTTCGTCTCCTCCGCTCACAACTATGCTGTGCATGTGGACGACAGCGGCGTGATATACGATGCCACTCTGAACAAGTCTGACGCAAAAGTGAACAACAACAAGTTCTATAGAGTTCAGCTCTTGAGACAATCCACTCGTTTCTACACTTGTAAGTTTTCTCGGCTAGTTTACATGAGTATTTAGACCCACCCTCGAACGCCTCCAAGGTTTGTATGGATGATACAGTCCCTGAACTCTGACAAATTGTAGGGACACGCTGGGGTCGTGTGGGTGAGGGCGGCCAGAGCAAGATGCTAGGTGACGGCACCCTTGACGACGCTCTTTCGTATTTTCGGATCAAATTCAAAGAGAAGGCCGGTCTTACGTGGGAAAATAGGGATGCGCCGTCTCGGAAGGGCAAGTATGCATATCTTGAAATCAACTACGCAGAGTCGGAGGACGAAGTTGAGAAACAACCCGTGGAAGCGAGCCGGAAAGGTGAAGTTGCTGTGAGAGAAAAGGTCTTTGCCGCGAGCAAACTCATGCCACCGGTCCAACGCCTGATGGAGCTCATCTTCAACATGCAGTATTTCAAAAATACCATGGCCGACTTTGACTACGATGCCAATAAGATGCCTCTTGGGAAGTTGAGCAAGAAGACTCTACTCAAGGGGTATGAAGTCCTGAAAGAGCTGGCCTTGCTCGTGGCCGACCCATCTGTTGCCACCGGTATGGGAGAAGAAGCGTTCCAAGCTGTCCTGGACCGAAGCAATCGGTACTTCTCACTTGTTCCGCATGTCGTTGGCCGCCGTCAGTTACCCGTTCTCAAGAATATGGATTCCATTAAGGTACTTGGGCATGACCGTCATCACTGCCATACTCGTCCTCGAGCTAACCGTGATACAGAGAGAAATTCAACTCCTCGAGACGTTGACAGACATGCAACTGGCCAACGAGATTATGCAGTCCGCTGCAATCGAGGAACATAGGACTCTCCATATGCTGGATCGACAATACCAAGGACTGGGCATGAAAGAGATGATTCCTTTGGATCAGGACAGTCAAGAATTCACCGAGATCTTTAACTACCTGAACCTGTCGACTGGCAGCACCCATGCCGTTAGATACGGGGTGCAGGATATCTTCCGCATCGAGCGCGACGGCGAAAGTGACCGACTCGACAACTCTCAATACGCGTATCTCGGGCCAAGGAGTGACCGCCGCTTGCTCTGGCATGGATCCCGTGTCACCAACTTTGGTGGCATCCTCAGCCAAGGCTTGCGCATTGCACCACCAGAAGCCCCTGTATCAGGGTACATGTTTGGCAAAGGCGTGTATCTTGCAGATATGAGCTCAAAGAGCGCTGGCTATTGTGCAACATACAACAGTGCGGGAACTGGGTTACTCCTGCTTTGCGAGGCTGAACTGGGAAACCCCTCTCTCAAACTCACGCAAGCCGATTACAATGCCGAGGATCGTGCCAAGTTGTATGGCCACCTTTCCACCTGGGGTGTTGGTCGAACCAGCCCTCGTGTGTGGAAGGATGCTAGCTGCGTGCATCCGAGCCTGAAAGGAGTGAAAATGCCTGATGTTGTCAATTATCCGCCCAGTCCAACTAACGAGCCTTGTGCACAACTTTTGTACAACGAATACATCGTCTACGATGTGGCTCAGATCCGACTACGATACCTTTTGCGAGTCACCATAAATTGAGGATTCGGTTCGATGATACCGGCATGGGACGAACCAAGACAGAGATTGGCAAACTTGGGACCGGGAGTCGACACCACACTCGTCCTGTTTCACCAGCTGCGCGACAAGCGAATAATCATGGTTTGCATAGCGAAGGGGTCGTTCATGTTTTTTCAGTCACTGCTTCAACAGCTTTCAGCATTCCCAGGGATGCATTCATGGATACAGAAATACCCCATTGCGTGGAGACAGACAAAAAGGAAAGGATACAAAGAGCTATTCGGTAAGGTTCTCTGCAATGATACTCCCATCAGGGCAGAGCTCAAGAGTCATGGAGATTCCACATGGCACACACAATTGTACTAGCAAGCTGGTGACAAGGATTAAGACGAGCTTCCTATGGACCTCGCCAAACAAGAAATGCTTCACTTGATCATCTGGTCCCTGTTTGTACAAACTTTCTTTTTCGTCGGGTCTATGGATTTGTCGTTCCCTCCCTGCCTTTCCGACCTCTCTGGAGTCTATCTTGATTTTTTGGTTTTTGGTTCTGGGTACATCTCTCCCCTATGCCATTGCATGTTATTTCATTTCCTTTCATTTCAGTTTGGCAAGACCTTTTTCCCGCCCATTTCGTTTTTTTGTCGATCCAATCCAATCCAATCCCTTTCCCTTCCCTCTGCTCGATACTGATACATAGACGCCATTTTTTGTTCGCTCGACTGAATGAGTGTGTAGCACCACCTGATAAAGATTTCACAAAATGATTTGTCGTCCTCTTTTTCGCCCCGGGTCTCAGGATTCAAATACCCCGATCTCTTACTTGATACCCAACCTCCCACCGATCTGTGGAGATTTGTTACGACACACTGTACCTGCCCTACAAAGGTATGTACGTATGTATGTATACCTCGATGGCAGGGCAGGTACATGCACGCATGGAGATTGCCCACTCAAAACGCCCTCTCGTCGAGGCCGGCGGCCCATTTCTTGCGCACCACGCTCTCACGGTATTTAGTGTCGCGCTTGGTTTTCTCGCCGGAGGCGATGGCGGCGGCGCTGCGCTTGTTGATGATGGAGTCGATGAGTTGCAGTGCGTCGTCGATGGCTTCGGTGATGGGGTTATTGTTGTTGTTATTGTTGCTATTGCTGTTGCCGTTCCCGTTGTCGCTATTGCTGGTTCTGCCTTGACCTCTGCCGCTACCGTTACCGTTACCGTTGCCGTTATCATTGTTATTGCCGGTCCCGGTATCAGTCGACGAGGAGTTGCCCGCCGAGTCTGTAGCATCGACTGTGGCGTTGTTTGCGGCTGCGTCGCTTGTGACGTTGGCTGACGCGGCCGTCACGTTGGTCGCCGCAGACACTGCCTGGACTAGGTCCGTCGAGTTGCCGGCACAGGCGCTCGCGATCGCGGACATGGTGGTGTTGCTCGCAGCCACAGCCTCGGTGACGTTGGCCACACCGGTCTGATTGACTGCAGCTTCCATGGCCGCAGCCATGCAGGCAGCAGCGGCATCAACGGTAACTTGAGTATCTGTCCCGTTGGCAGCAACAGCATCAGCGGTAGCTTGAGTATCAGTCCCATTGGCACCGGCAGCGGCAGCAGCGGCACCGTCGCCACCGCCGTTACCATTGCGGCCGTTGCCCCTGTGCTTCCGCGGGACAAGCGAGTCACGTCTCCACGCCAACTCCTGTTTTGACGGAGTCACTGGCAAGACATAGCCAGAGACGCCTTGGACAAACAAACTCGGGACTAAAAGACCCGCGGCGAGTGCCAACGATGGGAGGTTGTGCCGTGGTTCCAGGCCAGCAAGGACACCAGGCAAGAGCAACAAGCAGACGCTGAGAGAAGAAAAGATGAGGAACCGGCCCATTTTTGTGTTAAATTCCAAAAGAAAGGACAACCTGTTGTCTCGTAAGAGCGTAAGAGCGTGAGAGTCTTGGGGCAGATGGGGGACCAAAGGAATGCAAAAAGCTCTTGTGAGTGAAATGAAAGCGAAGTGGCAGCAGGAACCTGCCTGCTATACTATGGAAATGCGAAAAGATGGGAATGGGCACGGGCAATGTTGAGATACGAAGGGAGAAAAGGCCAGAGAGAGGGAGAAGGCTTTCATATATATCGAGAAGTCAATGAAATCAGACTTTTCCTCCTCTTCCTTTTCCCATTGCCACGGCCCAGTCTTTGGGATGCATATCCACAGCTTGATACTCGAGAACCACAATTCTCTTGCATTCGCAGCACCGAGACTGTGGGTTGGTGACAGGGAATAACGGTCACCATGGCGGGCGTCACTGAACATCACTGAACGCACGGCCCCGAAATTCATGGCTTTTGTTGATTCGGAAGCTCCCTCCGATAGACATGCTTGCGCGTTCAAGCCAGAGTCAGTCCAAGAGTCAGTCCAAGCGAGAGGTCTGGCTCAAGCACTGTCTGGACAGTGTTTCCCAATATGCTTCGAGACGCAGCTCGTCCTCGGCAAACGAACTTTGGAGCATGTGATGTGGCAGATCCTTCTCGGTTGGAGCGAGTCACAATGGACGCATCGAGAATATGGGAAAAGGTTGACCAGAAACACTGGAGCCATGAGACAAGAAGCGTATGAAACCCGTGCAAAAGACAAGGCTGTGGATTCCATGTGGATCGACCCCTGGGGTCGGACATGTTTCAGCTGCAGGTGAGTCTTGGCAAAGGGATCCCTTTGTGAAGGGCGACAGGAGGATGGCAGGATGGTTCTGATGATGGGAAATGCCTGGTTGATTGGGTATCTCATGTCTCGTTAAATGCTGTTATACAGGTTGTGCACAATATATCGCCGGGCAAAGGTCCTTCAGTCGCCACCCAGCCGCCGGCCGGCGCCCCTACCACTCCAAGAGTTTGAGAAGCCACTAGTCCAACCGCGACTCTGCTGCTGGGGGACGGGTTGCCCAGGTCTGAAGCTCGTCCCATAAGCTTTGTGGGTGAATGAGCTTCTATCCGCGCCAAAATATCTCCTGACTGCAGCTGGAGTTTGTATGTAATTTCTGCCACCCTGGAAAGTCGGATACAGCCTCGTCAGAAAGTCGTAAAGATGAGCGGCAAAGACGCCTGTGGCTTGTTGCAGGGCAGCTTGAGGCCCGCCCATGATCAGGGTCAGCGTGAGCATGGCCCATGGGAGCAGCTCGACGGGTATCTGAAGGATGATGAAATGTGCCTTCTTGCCCCTGTTATCTTGCGCGAAGGTGTAGATGAGCGCGAGAAGAAGGGCTTGAGTAAAGATGTGGCCACCGAGGATAAGCCCTCCAGATGCCTGATCCCAAGTCAGCGGACCAATGTTGTACACCGCTATGGGGGCAAAATAAAAAATTAAGGGATAGTTTGTTGGGATGTAGGAAGCCTAAACCGCCACACGCAAATTGATTTTTCACGAACAGCTTTCTCAATGGAGCCACCACCATGCCTGTGCCGCATAAAGTCCTATTGACAGATTTGCGAATGACGGGAGCTTTATGTGCCACAGGGGTAATCTCCCTCGTTTCCAGGAACCGCTTCAGCTAGAAAAAAGACTGGGCGGGCAGATATGCGAGGTGTCGAATTCATAGGGAACGGGAAGACGAGGGAGGAAAGGCTAGATGACTGACCAGTATGGCAGTTGCCACGAAAAAGATATAGGTGAAAAAGTCGCCGGGTTGGGCGAATCGAGGAGAGTTCAATTCTAGGCCCGAAGCGTATGTGTACACTGGTGGAGTCAGAGACGGTTCAGCGTCAGAAAGACTGCAACTCACTGAAATAGAGGTCGAAGACAAAGGAAAAGCCACCGCCTGTCAAGAGGAAGGAGGAAAGTAGCCGCCAAAGCTCAGGAGGAAGCTTGAATAACCACGGCGTATGATAGACGATCCGCATGCCCGAGACCAGACCTGAGTGGACCAGTGCAGATTCCACAAACATTGCTGCCACAATGGTCCTTTGAGATTGTTAGATGTACTGGAGCTATAAAGCAGAAGATGGAGGGGGTTCACCGACCGAGTGACTGGAGGGGTACTCCAGAATCTGTCCATGATGTCAACGCCGCCGCCGCTCATTCTAGGTGCGAGGTGAGAAGAAACAACGACAGGCCAGAGAGTTTATCAAGACATGAGCAGGATGGGGTTGTTTATATGTGATGGGAATTGGACAGAGTGTCGTACTAGGAACGTTGCCTGAAAATATTTCGAGGCTTTGATAGCGCCAAGCTCCTGCTCACCACTAGTCCGTATCAGGACTAGTTTTCTCTCCGCACCGACACGCCGTTCAAGATTTTGCTCGACTCCATTTCTTTCGTCCTGTGGTCGCAAAGAACAAAGATATTTTTTAGTATTGCAGGACATACTCCCACATCACTATCTGCAGCAATACAAATCATTTTCTATTGGGAGTTGCTCCCGCTGTATCTCATTGAGCCATCTTCCAGCTCCCCGAGAGCTCTGCAAAGATAACTGCGCACGGCAAATCTCAATCTGGGCGAACGCAGGACCTCCAACATGGCAAAGGTCGCGGAGGCTGATTTCAGCATCAAACCAGAGAATATCACGCCTCAGATCCCTACTTCTGAGTGGCCGCTGCTGTTGAAGAACTATGATCAACGCAAGTCCCCAAAGTCATGACCCTCAGAGCTCCAATTAACGTGACAATTATAGTATTGGTTCGAACGGGCCATTTCACACCGATTCCTGTTGGTTGCACCCCATTGAAACGCGATCTTAAATCGTATATCTCTTCCGGCGTCATCAATCTCGATAAGCCCTCAAACCCCTCCAGCCACGAAGTCGTTGCTTGGGTTAAGCGCATATTACGAGTAGAGAAAACCGGCCACAGCGGAACACTTGACCCCAAAGTGACAGGATGCTTGATTGTCTGTATCGACCGAGCTACTAGATTGGTGAAATCGCAACAAGGTGCTGGGAAAGAATACGTCTGCGTCATCCGACTACACGACAAATTGCCTGGAGGAGAAGCGCAGTTTGCTCGAGCACTCGAAACATTGACGGGTGCTCTGTTTCAACGACCTCCCCTCATTTCTGCAGTCAAGCGACAGCTCCGTATTCGAACCATCCACGAGAGCAAGCTGTACGAATTCGACAATGACCGGCATCTTGGCGTTTTCTGGGTCAGTTGCGAAGCTGGAACCTATATCAGAACTCTCTGCGTACACCTGGGATTGCTGCTGGGTGTTGGTGCGCACATGCAGGAATTGCGAAGAGTAAGGAGTGGAGCTATGGCTGAGAGCGATGGGATGGTGACGTTGCACGACGTTCTCGATGCGCAATGGATGATGGACAACAACCGAGACGAGTCGTATCTGCGCAGGGTGATCTCGCCGCTTGAGAGTCTGTTGACCACATACAAGAGAATTGTCGTCAAGGACAGCGCGGTCAACGCTGTCTGCTATGGCGCCAAACTGATGATTCCCGGTTTACTGCGATTTGAGGCTGGTATCGAGGTCCACGAAGAGGTTGTGCTAATGACGACGAAAGGCGAGGCAATCGCTCTTGGCATTGCGTTGATGTCAACCGTCGAGTTGTCTACCTGTGACCATGGTGTCGTTGCCAAAGTTAAGCGGTGCATCATGGAGAGGGATCTGTACCCGCGACGATGGGGTATGGGGCCTGTGGCCCTCGAGAAAAAGAAGATGAAGTCTGATGGAAAACTTGATGTATGGTCTTCTCCACTTCCTCTCATCCGCTTTGGTGCTAACGTGTTACCACAGAAATATGGCCGACCAAATGAAAACACTCCGGCCAAATGGAATGCTGAGTACACCGACTATAGCGCCTCCGCCAATGCAGAGGGCACCAAATCCGCCCCCGTTGGGGAGACCACGTCCAGAGCCGATGTCCTTTCCGCCCCACCTGTTGCCCCGAATGGTGAGGCTGGTAATCAAATGGACCTTGATGAGAAAGCAGCAGCAGAGCCTGCAACGACAAACGGCGAGTCAACTCCGAAGATCAAGAAAGAAGATAAGGACAAGAAGCGCAAGAGCAAACACGAAGGTGAGACGCCCGAAGAGAAAGCTGAGAGGAAACGGAGGAAAAAGGAAAAGAAGGAGAAGAAGGAGAAGAAGCGCGAGAGCGGGGTGAAGAAAGACGACAGTGATGACAGCGAGTAAAAGGTTCGCTGCTGCAACTCCCTGAAAGGTGTTTGGCGAATCGGGACTTTCATTATTACGACTCTAGTTGGTTTGCTTGACGAAGTGCATGCCCTTTCGGCATTGATAATGCAACAGAGACGCCAACCCGCAATCCACATACTTGGGGAGATTCGGATCCAGGGCATTCTGAATCAGAGGGCGCTTCAGAGATGTTGATACGACCCACATTCCTTGCGCTACTAGGTTTTGATGGCCGCATCCCAAAAGCCATGCTCCGAGGCACGAAGAGGGTGAGTCTCTGTGGCAAGACTGACTACTCTGCAAGGAGAAAGGTACGGCATCCAGGCCGGGACAATCAAGACGTACGACAAGCCCCAGCGCAACGATTTTCCTATTGGCTTGTTTGACGAATGCGCTTTCGGTCATGGAAACGCGTTGTCTCATCTGTACATAAACGAGGGCCAAGTCGATACATGCTCTGCAGGGGCTGGTGAGGCGGTCGGTGAGCTTTTTGGGGTTTGTCTGGTTGGTAAAAGAGAAAAGAAAAGCTTTGTGAGACACATGCTATGGAGTTTCTGTGCGAACGATAACTGGACCATCTGGCTGGCTACGACCTGGGAAATGCTCTCGTGGCGGCGACAGCGGCATCAAGTGGGTGCTGGCTGGCATATTCAATGTTTTGGAGTCTCGCTGGTTGTGCTGCTTGGATTTTACGATCAGTCGGTCGGTGACTCGAGGTAGCATTGCCTACAGTGCCTACGGTATCTGCTCATTGTGTCATTGTTTCGATTTGCCGCCTGGTACTGGTACTGTTACTGTTACTGTGGTTAGAAATGTATGTAGTCAGTACCGCTGTGATAATCACCTCTTGACTCTTGACTCCCTCCTTAGCTACGTGCCTCTCTCTCCCTGCGGTCCATATCCTCTGCTCGCCGTTCTTCTTATCCATCGCCCTCTTGACACAGTCGACCTCGCCTCCTCATGTACAATGTACAATCTCCGTACTATACCTCTACTATAGTACTAGAACGAAACCACCTCTCATCACACGAGGACTAGGATTCCCCAAGTCCCTATGTGAGAACGAATACCTGGACCAAAAAAAAGTCATCTAACTTCCAACGCCTCCACGCCGGACCAGCACCTCGAGTCTTGAGACTTGACTCATCTCACCTTGCCTCATCTCACCTTATCTCACGTCCCTATCCCCGGTCCCAATCCCCATTCCTACCCCTATCGTCCTAGTAGATCCAAACCACACCCGCCCCCAGACGATCCCAAGAACAACCTAGCACAAGACAACACGACACAGCATCAGATCCAGGGATAACATCCATCCTCCCGGACCGAACCATCTCCGTCGGTTTCGGGGCGGGACTGAGCGGAGCGGCTGCTAAGCTGCCAGACAGGGCAGGGGGAGTAGAATGGAATATGGAATAAAGAGGAACAAGTAAAGCGCTGTGGATGACTGACTGGATGAGTGGATGAATGTTTTCATGCAGACAAGGATACAAAGATGCAAGGATGTGTGTATGCGTGTGTATGCATGTGTGTGTGAGTGAGTGAGTGAGGGAGACTAAAGTGACCAAAGAAAGAAAAACACCTCGTTGGTAGTTGTACTTGTTCTCGGTCCATTCCGACATTCCGTTGACGCGAAGTGATGCCTACATACCGAGTACAGAAGTACAGACCCTGGCAAATCTGGCTTGGTACCAAAGTTATCATACTAGTGTACCTACGTAAGTATTTGAGTAGGTATGTACATACATGCATGTATGCATGCATACTGAGCGGCTGAGCGGCTGATCTGTAATTCATGGGTATCATCAGCATCCTGCCAGTGGTGGTGGTGGTGGTGGTGGCAGATCAGAAAAAAAGAAAAAGCAATGACGTCGACGACATCCGCGGTTGTCGGGCTTGGATGAGCACGCAGCACCACCAGGAACGGCAATGTGAGGTGAGGTGAGGTCAGAGAAAAAAAGGGGGCCGAAATATCGCCCTTACATTTTCGCGTGGAACAAGTTCATCCATCGATCAGTCTAACCACCATCCATCTATCGTCCATTGACATTGACGAAGGATCGACCGGATAACCAGAGAGAAAAAGAAAAGCCTCAACCAACCCAATCAAGCAGGCAAGCAAGTTCGCATGAGGCAAGACTTAGTAACCGACGCAAAAGGCAACCGAGCAACCGAGTATGTACGAGGTATGCGATCTGACTTAATCCACGGTGCTTCCCGGTGGTGGTCCCGGGCTATGCAGGTACTGCACAGGCAGAAGGCAGGACCGGACGAAGATCAACTCTGCCCTGCTGGGTCTTGGGGTTGTGGTTCTACACGCTGGGCTCAGCCGAGACAACAGATCGGATCTCATTTTCGTCGGTGACATGTAGATGCATTGATGTGGAACATACGCCCGGGACTGCGACCTGCTGCTCGTCGTCACATCAGGAGGCTCATGGGAGAAGCTTCACAATCCATCATCGCACGCAAGAGCACACAATAACATCTTGCTTCATTTCATTTGGCTCAAAGAACAGAATACTCTCCTTTAGCGGTAAAAGATCCAACCCCCAAAAAATGACCGGATTTTATCAAAACAGCATCCCCTAAAGTTGTGGTACAGTGTATCGGTCGGTGTTGCCCGGGGCGGGGTTTGAAGCGTTGGTATATAGAGAGATCCAAGGCCGGCAAATGCTGGGTATCAGTACCTGGCCTCGCACTGGCAACCAGGCTTGTATGCTAGGTATACCATCTCTGCATGTTGTTACAGGAGTCGGCTCGCTTTTTGGCAGGTTCGCTGGTCCCGGGTGACCAGAATAGGTCGACAATCGAGAACACATCCGCCATCGAGGGAAACAATTAAAATGCCTTCTTTTTGCCCCTTCGTTGCTATCCCAAACCGCCAATATTTAATCGCCATCCTCCCAAGTCTTTCGTCTGAGCATTGTCGTAATCTCGCAGCTGGTGGGGGAAAAAAGACCCAAACAAAAACTGTCAAAGACGCTGGTCTTTTGGCTCACTGTGAAAAAAAAAAGTTCCAATCATCACTTCGTCAGGGTCATACTCGTGGCTGAATCACGAGACGTTGAAATTAATCATGTAGATGCGCGGCGGATGCAGAAGCGCCCTGCGAGTGCATCATCATGCCAGAGAACGGAAGAAAATTAGGCCTTAAAAGCCTTCTTCGCCTGCCTTGCACACCTTGATCTCTCTGCCCCATTCGGATTTGAGGACTTGCGATGCGGTAATGCGGCGGCCAGGATTCGGGTCGAGGATCGAGTAGATGACGTTTCTGCAACGAGCCTAGATGAATCAAAGTCAGTCAAACCCTTCAAACCAGATTCTCGGGAAATGCTTACCCTGTGCAAGGTCTCGATTGGGGCATATCCCTCTTCATCTTTCCGTCCTTCAAGATATCTCTGATAGAATTCGTCCTCTTCCTTGCGGGCCACTCGCCAGAGATGCCGCCCAGTGCGCATGGCCATGTAGATAACACCGCACGCCCACACATCCACAGCCCGGGGATCAAATTCGCCACCGCCGTATTCTTCTGGGGCAATGTACGGAGCGCTGCCACAGAGCCCAGCCGTCATATGGGCTTCTTTCTCCCAAGCCATCCGGAAACATTCGCCATTGCCAAAGTCGGTGATTTTGAGGGCGCCGTGGGTGGTCAAGAGAAGATTCTCGGGTTTTAGATCGCGATGTGCCACTCCCATCTCGTGCATGTACTCGACGCCACGCATCAATTGCTTGAAGAAGCAGTCTGCTTCGGGGACTTGGAGAGTGCCAGCGGCCAGAATCAGTGTGTAGAGATCTCCGCCAGCACAATATTCCATGACTTCGCAGTAGTCCCCTTTTGCATCTTGCAGGAGATCAAGGGTGTGGATGATGTTAGGATGGCGGAGTGACGACGAGATACAGAACTCGCTGGTCAAGCGTTTCTGATACTTTTTGGCCGTCTCTTGCGGGCGGCGGCGGAACTCCTTGACGGCGTAGAGCAATTCTCCTCCAGCACTATTAGGGTCTGGCTTGTGAGAGATTCTGACGATGCCGAAAGCGCCGCGGCCGACGATTTCCTGGCATTTGCCATATTTTTCGACCAAGTTGGCCGTGGCATTGGGGCCCCCCTTCTTGTCCGAGGCAAGGCTATCCTTCTCCGATCTGAGTTGGTCAACCCAAGACGACATCAGTGTCAGTTGTTGGTCACCCGCGCCATCCTGATCCTTCTTCTTGCCACCACCGAGCATGTCGCGGAGCATGTCGGACAATTTTTCCTGCCGTTTGGCAGACTTGAGAAAGTGTGCATGAGAGCCGTCATCTTGCATCTCGAATCGTTTATGCAGAGCACTGGTGGGATCTGACGGCGGCTCGCCTTTGGTCTTCTCTTTTGCAGCGCCGAGTATAGTCATCTTGCGGACGCTCTTCTCGTCAGTTGAGCCCTGTCTACCAGGGGGTGGTCTGCCGTTGGGTGGGTGGCCGTTTTCTAGACGAGCGTCGGGAGAGGTTTCCTTTATTTCAGCTGCAACTTTGGCGGCGGCCTCGACGTCTTTGGGGTCGGTCCGAGAAAACATTCGCGTCAGACGGTGCGTCATTTTGCCCTTCTTTGCAGGCTCTTTAGCTGCAGCTGCGCCCGAATTTGACGTCGTGGGGGAGAGACTTGACAGGCTAGTGATGGGCGCGGCACCGCCGTTGGTTGCCGGGAGTTGGAGGTGTGCCGTATCCTCCACCGATCGTGTTATTGAATGCGTGGATGCATCATCGTGTGACACAGGCGACTGAGCGAGCGCAGGGGAGTGTTCCGCAACGAGATGAACTGACGATGATGTCTGATTCATGTGAATGGTGTCTGCGTGAGGAAGGCGTACGAGGGGGTGGGGGGCGAGAGTGGTTTTGGGCAGGACGCCCTATCTCTCTGTGTTTAGTGGCGGTAGATAAGGTGTCCTATGCGCGACTGCAGCTTCGTGTAACAAGAAGCCCGGCTATAAAATCGCAAGGATGATTCTCGAAGTGTTCAACGAGGCAAAATCACCGTCCTTTTCTCACTTGTGGTGTCTTCTGGATGAGGTTGGATATTTGGTAAGAATGATAAATATGTGTGGTGGCGAAGACGGAATGGGTGCGTGCTATTGCCAATGTAAAAAAAAATAAGGAAGCCTAAGAGGGGCTAGAAATTGCGCAGCGGTTGAGAGAGGGCGACAGAGGGCGACTTTGATGGCTTGCTGAGGCCTTAAGTGATGAAAGGACGTTTGAGGGGCGGATCGTGTGCAGGCGCAGGCAGGCAGATTTCACGATCTGTCCAACACCTGAAATCAAGACCCTTTGAACTTTGGGGAAGCCCTTGGCCCTTGGCCCTTTTCTCCTCGTGAGCCAAAACTTTTGCCAGTTGTGTGATGCTGGTCAGTGCTCACCGGGAAGACGGAACAAGCTGTTCAGGTGGGTTTGCACAGTGGCTGTGACGGCCAGGCCTGCGATACAGGGGGACAGTGCGGGCAGCGCAGGAGATTGGTCTGCTTAGGAGCTGCTGACCAATGCAGGGCCGTGCGTGCAGATGCAAGTTCAAGGGCCTTCTATTGCACCAGGTCTCGGGAACAGAAGACGTAAATCGAAAGCGGTAGTGAGAGAGGTAAGAGTCGTCCAGTTAGGTAGGTTGCCTGGCTGCTGCGAAGGATGGTGAACTCAGGACTTGTGAGGGTCAAGATGCACGCGTAGTTGAGAGTCCGCAAGAGCAGTCTAGGGAGTGGGAGAGTAGCAGAGCGGCGCAACGCGTTGTCCACTTGTGAGGATTTGTATGAGAGAATTTCTGTTCGTCCAGTCCCGATTTGTGTGAATCTCAGCGATCCAATTCCCGTGTTTCCACTACCACTACTCAGCAACCACTTCTTTCCGGTGACGGTGATGGTGACTAGGGGGTACTCGACAAGTCGTTCTTCGTGGGGATCAAGGACAGAGGTGGAGATGGGATGGGTGCGTCAGTGAAGATCTGTTTTATAAGGAAATAAATAATAATAACAACAAGAGTCCAAGTAGTACTAAGAGGCTGATCTGGTGGTGCTGCGAGGGTGAGTGACTTCAATTGTCCATTCAAGTCACTGCTGACGAGGGCGCGATGGTAGAGGGCGTCGAATGTGTCTGGTGAAGGGTGATTGCTGAAGCGTGCAGCGTGCAGCATGCATCATGCGGGCAGGCTAAGTTAGTTGGTTTGTTTAACTGGGATTGTCCCTCCTTGTAGGTGCCCCTTTGCCCCTCGATCCTCGCCAGAGGGGCCACCCACCCACCTGGACTCCCCCTACCATTACCTTGCAGTAGCCCGGGCATGTCGGTTACTTAGGCGGTTCCTGCAGGTAATAATAATTCACCCTGGTTAACGGCCTGGAGCATGCAGGTTTCCTCCGAGTTTCTTCATGAATTTCCCTTTGTCGTGGCTGGCCGTTCGTCCGTTTGGTGCGCCCAATTCATTCAGGACCCAATGGTAAACAGCAGTGACACTCTAAGGAACGAAGTACACATGACAGACAGACAGAATATGCCCTACCATGGTAGTCTGTACATATACGGCCCGCCCATCGACGTACAGTATTGGCAACTCACGTCTCCAGGTTTTCGATTGCGATCGAGTAATAACAATTCAAAATCAAGAGTCAAATCCAATAACAATCAATTCTACCGGCCGGTTCTTCGTCTCGTCTCTTACCCACTGGTTCCGAATCCTCACATCTCCGTCTGCCTGCGTCTGCCTGCGCCCGGCTACACCCTCCGCCTCCTCCATCATCACCACACCACAAACACTAGAAGGACTTACTTGGTACACGTCCTCCGATACTTCATGCGTTCCCTTGCTCGCAGCCCTGCTTGATAACAATATCCTGTGCCATCACCCTGCACGCTTACGTCTTTCGTTCTTCTTTTTTTCTGTGGTTGGATTGACTGCATCGAATCCCGTTCGTCCAGAATGTGCGACGCTGCAACCATCCTCTCCTCTCCTCTCCACCACCACCTCCTCCTCCTCCACTTCGCAGCTTCGTGGTCTAGGTCCCGGCCCCGGCACGATTTCAAAGCAAGGATGACTATAGCATGACTTCCTTGTGTGGTGGTTTCCGCAGAATAGCGAGGCTCGCCAGGATGCTTTCCACTCTTGGATTCTGACTGCTGCAGCTCCATCTGCACCTTGTTCGTCATTTTCTCTTGTCATCAATCGTTTCCCGCAGGGGCCACTTTGGCTTCCACTGTCCCATCTTCTCGTCCCTAGACCGTCTCACCGCTTGAAGCCTCGGATCCCATAACCCAGTCCAGCGGCACAACCACGCACGACCTCCGTCCCTCTGCATGTGCTGGCGAGCGGCTCCATCTCGGATGTTGTGTCTACAGTGACCGTCTCACCGATTCTCGCAATGCACTGTTCTTTTCCATATGTTTTGGAGCTTGGAGCAGACATGTGCTCGTTTCCTACACCGTTCATTTCGAAATCTGTCCCTACCACTAAGTGTCACAGCTGGCCACATGGGATATCAAGGAGATTGACATGTGAATCTTCTTAGCCATCAATGCTCGACCCGGCTCTCATTCAACCTCCTTGATCTCCGAGGGCATTTGCGGTGCATTCTCTCGGTACTCGAGTCCCCCCTCCTCGGGTTCCCTTGCCTACTTAACCCCGGCAAAACTCAAGACCGTTCTTCTAAGCCGCTATATCGCCGGGTGGTATGTTTGGCAAGGGAGTAGCCGCCTCCGCATTCACTGTGGAAGAGGAGTAGATGATGGGGTATGTTGGTGGCTCTTCTATTGGCCATCAAAGCACGCGCCCATCGTGAATTCCCGGACCACCTTTACGGCAGAGGACGCGTGGGGACATGGTTGTGTGCGTTGTATCTATCTCATTGACTGCCGAGCAAGGCGTGTCCCATTTTTCTCTTCCGTCCTTGATTCCGAACTGGACATCCGCTGGCTTTACCCACCCTGTTGCCTCCTGCTGGAGCACGTCCCTGGCTGCACCCCTTGCGCATCTCGTCGAATGAGTGGCCATGCATCTCGACCATTCCAGCATGCAAATCGAGTGAGAAATGCACCACTCATTTGAGCACGAGGAAAACCTGATCTTCACCTTGAGACTGATCATAACAGCGGTGATCGTCAGCCGTTGGTCTGAGAACCACATCTCGTTTCTGCGAGACTGTCGAAACACGACATTCCAGCTCATCACTAACATAACCGAGCCCGTGAAGGAAGATAAGACTTGCCGCAAAAAAGCAGGGGATGAACAGCCTGGCTAATCTCGCACTGTCGTTCAGGAGGGACAAGTTGTGCAGTACCTGGTACACCGCATTTCTACACTTTCTAGGTGAACAACCAGCTCTCGAGAGGTGTGTTTCATGGCCACCCTGCGGCGCACAACCATCTCGATCTGGATCCTGCTCGCGAAGAAGAGTGTGCCTCGGTGATGCTCGAGTTAGACCGCTCCAACTCCGTCATTTTCCTTGATGATAGGATGTTTGCTCAGGGAGACTTTCGAGGGGTTTCAATAGCAGTTCACTGGGGACATGGGAGCTGCCACCCTGATGCTGGGTCTGTCGTGTCGCTGATCCGAGGGTGGACGTGCGAGCGGGAGGGACTTTGCCCTTTCGTATCCATCCTCACCCGAAGAGTTCCTCCCTTTTCGTCTTTTCACTGCCCAATCCCCGAATGAATCCCCTGATCGGCTTTCATCACCTGCGTGGAACTATTTTGATCTTGGTTACCGGGCTTGAATACCTGTGTACATGTACAAGCAGGATACGCTACGAGATCTTGTTGATGTCCTGACGCGCCAGAATCTATGATTGTCCTGTCTCGGTGGCTTCTCACCCGGCATTTGCAAACACTCGCAACATGTAAGTTCATTTCAGAACTTCGGGATGGTTTTCAAGCAAGCACGAGCACAGTATGCACCGCAGAACTTGCACCCCGTTCACCGAGGAAGAGGAGCAAAGGGATACAGTGACACAAGCAGAATTTGAAGTTCGGACGAGGATCAATTGCTTCCACTTCCGTTGAATACACGCTGTAGAGCTAACATCAATGCAGTTGCTTGTGGTTTCTATCCATATGCTCCTCATACCGGACCGCTGGCGCTACCTCTTTACCCCGATACGATATGAGCGTCCCTTTCAATCGTCTCCAGACATATAAGAAGGAGAAAGCCGAATACTGTTCAGGCGCTTCGAGGCTATGTTTTGAGGGGTGTTCGCCAACAAACAAGGGGATATTGTCCAGGGAGACTGCCCTGCATCGAAGAGACAATTCCCCAGCCTGAAGCTGATGTGTCCCACATTGTGCCGCCTTCTAATCCAACTTGAATTCAAGGTGCTCCGCAGGGTCAATAGACTGCAATGACACGGTGTCGGGTGTTCCGACTACCCTCACACAACGTCCTGCTCTGGCACACCAACGCCGGCCCCCTAGCACATTCATGTCGTCCCTGGGGAAGACATGAATGTGCATGAGCAAGAAGAAGAGGCGAAATATTCAACTATCCTGACTATTTATAACCTTTCCAACAACGGTCTGCACCCAGACAAAAGGCCGTGGCGTCTAATTAATAATCACAGTAGCCCAGGAGTTTTGATTAATGTTCATGAACAGGACTTCAGAGATGGATAGGGAGTTGTTCACAATGTCCGAAGGGCGTTTGAAGTGCTCAGCATCAAATGAACACCGTTGTAGTAGGAGAGGGCTGCTCCTTTATCTTGAGTGTTTGACGATCAAGTTGGAGTCCCTGTAAATGAAGACTTTCTTCAGGGCGTTATGGTCAGATACACGCTGTGTTCTGTTGACTCTGTCTGGTCAATTTGATGTCGGAAAGCCCACCGGCCTAAGTGATAGTGATGGGACTCAAATGATGGAAGGAGTCCGCTGGAGGAGCAAGTGTGAAGTGGGTCTCGTCATGCCAAGCCGCCACGGCACACCTTCTGCACTACTACTTAAGATGCCTCGCCGTATCCTCGCATCATCGTTTTCCCGCCCCTCAAACTACGTCATGAATTATCGGGGGCGCCGCTGGCGCAGTTTAGGCGCCGATTATACGGCAGTCCATGCGGCGTGGTGGCGCATGTTGAACAGCACTAATTGGATCACGCTTGATCTCACCTTCCACTCTCTCTTTCTCTTCCTCAACACGATTGAGGACGGCCCACTTGCGTTTGAGTCGGCCACCGAATACAACCGCCGCCTGTTCAGAAACTGGAACACCTATCTCAACCAGCGCGATGTCGTGGGCCGGATTCAAGAAGGGCGTGAACCGCGCCACCACACAGGTGATGATGAAGACGGGTAAGCCTCATTTGAGAATCAGTGGCAGCCGTGCGCTGACCATGTCATCTAGGCCAAGTCGAGAGGACGAACGACCGAGACTACGAGGTCGAGGAGAGGTGAGAGCGAAGCTCATCTGAAAGCCAACAGAACCACCACTAACCGCAATGCTACAGGAGGTACCGGACGATGGAATCGGCCGCGAACCGGCTACAGAAGGAAGCGAAAGGCTATCTCGACAGTCTACGAGGTGAGTTGAATTTGAATTCACAGTCAATGACTTCAGAAACTGACTGCGCTTCATTCAGCCATGACAGCATCCCAAATGAGGATAGCAGAGACGATCGACGCATTCTACGGCGACGCTGGTACCAGAGATGGAGTTTCGCGATCCTACAAGCAGGCCGTCGAAGATTTAGACGCCGAAACCATCAAAGCGCTTGATGGTCCATACCGGTATGTATCACCCTCACCGATACTCAATAATCACCGCGCTTACTGACGATGTTGACAGAGCAACCGTGCTTGAACCGATCTCCCGCTTCTGCGCATACTTCCCCGATATCAACGAATGCATCAAGAAACGAAATAACAAACTCCTCGACTATGATTCCATGCGTTCAAAGGTCAAAAAACTGGTCGAGAAACCCGACAAGGATGTTACCAAACTACCTCGCGCGGAGAAAGAAGCAGAAATGGCCAAGCAAGCATACGAACAACTCAACGAACAACTCTTTACTGAACTTCCCCAACTCATCGATCTCCGTGTTCCCTACCTCGACCCTAGCTTTGAAGCGCTAGTCAAAATTCAACTCCGGTTCTGCGCAGAAGCCTACAGCCGCATGGCACAGGTGCAGCAGTACTTAGACCCAGAAACTAGAGAACAATATGCACGTGGAGACCTGGATAACCGCGTCGAGCAAGTTCTCTCAGAGATTCGAGATTTAACCATTGCTGGAACTGTCTAAGTAAGACACACTCAAACCCAAACTTCATCATTCCCCAGCAAATGGATTTTCATTGTCTGCAAATTGACAGGCACCACCAAATTTTACAAAACACAGCGCAGGAAATGCTTTCTTCATGGCTAATGGATGGACGACTGAATGGGATTGAGATGGAACTGGTGATGGGCTGGGATGGCTTGCCTCTATTGAGTGCGATAGAGCACAGCACCGCATAGCGTTGGCGTTGTATGGCAGGCACAGGCTTGGTACAGACGCTACAGACACTAGAAAGCATCTGCTGCAAGAGGCAGAGAGCTTGGAAGGCCGAATGGCCCATGGCTGTCATAATACAAATAAGCTTTAAAACGGGCGACTCTGAAGCTTGTAGAGACGTAAAGCCATGCATTTTACATATGTATACAATGCCAATAGCTAATCGTCTGCACCCATGCCGATTCGCCGAGAACCAGGCCTCCAAAGCAGATATGTGTGTGTACGTCCTGTAGCTTCGGTACGACCACTGTCCCTCCTCCCACCATCATGACAAAGTAGTGTAGTTCTTGTTTTTCCCCGCCGCCTGCTTTAGAATTTGTATAAAATGGCAGCTTGGAGATAGGTAGACCAATTCTGCGCCATCTTTTTTTGTCCTCCCCCAAGAAGGTAATCTAGATAGCGCCCAAGTCCTTGAGCTTCTTAATCATGCCGTCCACGTCCTCGACCTTGCCGCCGCCCTGTCGCACAGGGGGTTCCTCGACCTTGACGGTCTTCAACCGGTTGGTGGCGTCGACGCCGTAGTCGCCAAGCGTCTTCTTCTCCAGCTTCTTCTTCTTGGCCTTCATGATGTTCGGCAGACTGGCGTACCGCGGCTCGTTGAGGCGGAGATCCGTCGTGATGATCATGGGCAGTTTGGCACGCACCGTCTCCGCTCCACCGTCTACCTCGCGCTCGACCGTCACCGTCTCGTTCTCGATCGTGACTTTGGAGGCCTGCGTGGCCTGCGGCCAGTTCAGTAGGCCGGCGAGCATCTGGCCCGTTTGGCCGGCGTCATCGTCGATCGCCTGTTTCCCCAGGATGATCAGGTTGCTCTTCTCCTTCTCGGCGATGGCCTTCAGCAGCTTCGCCACGCTCAACGGCTCGAGGGGTTTATCTTCGGGCACGTCGACGAGGATGCTGCGGTCTGCGCCCATGGCCATGGCCGTCCGCAGGGTGTCGGCGCATTTCGCCGGGCCGGCGCTCACGGCCAGGATCTCTTCGACGGGCTGTTTGCGCTCGCGCAGCCGGACGGCTTCTTCGATGGAGAGCTCGTCGAAGGGATTGAGAGAGTGCTTCACCCCGGAGGTCTCGACGCCTGTGCGGTCGGATTTCACGCGGGGTTTGACCTGTGTTGGGAGGAAGAGGGTCAGTATGACATGGTGAAGTGCACGAGAGAAGCGGGACAGGCGATAAGGACAGCGGAGGTGGTGATCATATGCTGCAAAACATGCATGGGCGGTGGAGGGTGCTCACAGCATAGTCAATGACACGCTTGACAGGGACCAATATCCTGAGCTTCGACGACATCTTTGGGCTCCTACGTCCCCTCTTTCTTCTTTTTGCTCGACAAGAAACACGATGCAGGAGTCGTCAGAACATGCAATGTTCTCCAAGTGTTTGTTTTTTCAAAAGCACGCTGACACCCTGAGAGTTACTTGGGAATAGTTGTGGTTGGGTAAGAGCTCTTTCGATGTTCCAATAAATCTTGACTCGAGAGAGAGACACCCGCAATCGGAGAGTCCTCGACTCCAAACCTCGGAACCGACAAGCCAGACGCCTAAATTCCCCGAGCAATGAGCGGCAGCGGCTAGTGGCGGCGTAAGAAGGTCAGGCATCATCTCGGAAGTCCATCAAGGGCCAACAAGGGCAGGTGACCCGAAATGCAGCAGCCAGATCTTGGCGAAATGCCAAGCCCACAGGGACGGGCTGCGAAATTTGGTTACAGGCAATTCGGCCAAGTCAAGTCAAGCCGGGACGCAAGAAAACTGACCACTTCCAACAAACATATCTGATTTCTCTTCCATCCACGACTTCGTCACTGGACTGAGAAGACAATCAAGATGCCGGTACGTGCTCCCTGAGATCACTCCCAGACAATTGTGCGATGCAAGACGTCGAAATGAAACACTTACCCAGTGTGATCATAACGAAACTCCCCCTCCCGGAAAGAAACATATCTGCCTCCTCAACCCAACTGCGTCTGCATTGTGCATACATGTCATCAAGGAAAGGAAAAGCGACCATGAACTGACCGAAGCATTTACAGAGCCACAAATCCTTCCGCACGAAGCAGAAGCTCGCGAGAGCGCAGAAGCAGAACCGACCCATTCCCCAGTGGATTCGTCTGAGGACGGGAAATACCATCAGGTCAGTCGCCCACATTTGAGAAAGAGAAAAATATCCTTGCATCAAAATATCTTTGGGGTTTTTGAGGTGGCATGGTTCCATGTGTTCGGGTGAATAAGTGTGCAGGAGATTGTCTTTCGTGACAAGATGTGGGAAGTTGCTGCGTATATTTCTCTGCAGCTTTCTGTAACTCTGAGGGAAGACGGATAATTGGGATCAACGAGGAAAGGGCCAGCATGGAATCCCAGCCAGCATACGATGCCAGCCGTTATCATTCCTTTGATGTTGAGATGCGAGGGAGTTGACGGAGAAGAAAACATTGGGCTAGAAGAAATGATGGCTAACATTCTCCATCCACAAACTACAGATACAACGCGAAGAGGAGGCACTGGCGCAAGACCAGAATCGGCATCTAGATTACCCATCACCCACAACAACCACATCGCTCCATACCTCAGCCTGGATTTACGGAACTCGTCTTTCGGAATTTACTCCCTTTCGATCACGCATTTCACCCATCTCTCACGATGGGACAATTGTTTTCAGCACTGAAATAGGGCCAGGATTGGAGGAAGGGTTGTTGCTAGGTCGGGAGGTCGGAGCCGGGAGGAGAATGGGGACGAGAGAAGCCTTAGGAGGTCGTATTCAAGGAATGCTAGGGCTTCAGTGCTGAGGAGTAGGGGAATTCGTCGTGACCTTGCTCCAGAATACTCTCCACAATCCCAAGATGCATGAACCATGCAACGCGCTCCAGAGACTTGCATGGAGGCCACGTGTAAAGGAGAATTCAAAATCAAAAGAATCAATTCAAAAGAGTGCTCCGTTCTAACTGCCTCGCCGCACGTCCCAGTCACAGAATCTATGTGTTAGTGTCAGATACTATGCCTGAGAGACTCTGCTCATTGGTTCAGGTGGGATTCGTTTATGTGCAGAACGTGTTTCGCATGACAGTCTGAACCTGCATGACTTCCGCCACCCATCGTATCTTCATTTCAGTGCATACAGCTGTACCTCCCAGCTCCGGCCGTGGCTGTTAAAGCAGTCCATTGGGCTCATCATGAACCGAGCATGAGATGCAATAAAAGAAATGATTTTGATTGCGCCACCAGTTCGATGGTCTCCCCAGTTATTTGAATTCCACCATGCTTCGTCATCGAACGCCTCCAACGCCATCGAAGTGTGCTAGTCTGTGGATGAAGCCACAGAGATGATCAACGACTAAGAAAGTCAGTGTCCAGAACTATTCACCCACAAAAGGGAAACTCACTCTTCGGCCCACTCGTTCTCGCGACGGATCTGGTCCTCCTCCTCCGGAGTAAAGTCGTTCTGGATATTGAACGTTTTGCGGATCTCTTCTGGCGACTTGCCCTTGATCATGTTGGCGACAGTTTTGCAGCCAACGTCAAGCAGTGCCTTGATGTCCAGATAGTTGGCCGCCAAAATGATTTCAAAAAGCATTTCTTGATCGACCTGCATGAACTTTTGATCCCACTCATCGATATCAGTCGTCTTCTTACGCGAATCTGAGTCGTCTTCATTGGTTGCAGGAGGGTCATGTTTGTGATGTGTGCACCACTCGATCACTTTTTTGAGGACAGCGGCATTGACATTGGGTATGGGGATGGCCTCCTCCATGGCATCTTCACCAAGATCGCCGACCATGTTCTTGATGAGAATTGATCTCTCGGCGACATCACGATCTGGGAACAGTCAGTTGAGAAAAGCAGCGCAGGGGTTGTACTGAGATGTATCTCACCGACTACGATATCCTCGCCATCAGAGCTCTGGAGGACCAACTTTTTGGAGTTGTCAGACGACATGCTGTGCAGTATGGACTTGAGACTTGTTCGCAAGTGCAGTGCGGGGCTGGTAGTGCACGATGACTATGACAGGGCTCGAATCAACCTCTGTTTGGTGTGAAGGGCCGATGCGTAACAGTACAGATGTAGAGAAAAGCGGAAACTAGCGAAGAGTTGAAAGAAACAGATGAGGTTCGAGAACAATAGATGTAGGACAGAGAGTCACGATTGAGGATGGAAAGACTCTGCCTGCGCAGTGAAGGGAAAGGGCTGCAACCGTCATTGCCAAGGGACAAGGATGCCTGTGCGGATCTGCGGCTGGGGCCTTGCCTTCTTCCTGGCTGGAAAGACCTGCCTTTGTGTGACAAAGACGAGCGTGACAGTTCAAGCAAGGGCGGTGTTAGGTAGTGAAGCAACTCAGCTAAACTTCTATGCTGTCGCTATATCAGAAAATTGAAGTAGATGTGATTATTGTGCCGAAAAACGAATGGGTTTCTGTGAATCTAGAGAGATGTGAATTGGGCGCCTGTTCCGCAAACTTGGGCACATGTTAGTCCACACCACCAAATGATGTTCAGATTCTGTGACGAATCAATTCTCGTTCAATCTCCTTTTGACATCTGCACAGACGACAGCTTCATTTACCCCTGTCCTAGAGAGCACATCCTTGTCTGCACCGGCCCTGGAAATGGTTGTCACGTGATCACAAGCCGGCCCGACGTCACCCGTTTGTAGAAGCAGCATTGAAATATGCAGAGACATACCAAGTCTCACTCCTTTCCCACCACTAACCTTATCTTCTCCTGTTCTTGTCCTTTTGCGTCTCCTTTTAGATAATTTTCACTCCGTACCGTTCACCGTGCTCTCGAGACCCTCGTCAAGAGGTTGCGACACCGTCCCTTCCTTGCTTCCCGCCTGCGCAAAGTGACGCGTTGAGAGACGCGCTCACGCATCACCCGGTCACAATTGAGAATGAGTTGGAGGGAGTGGCTCACACCTTGTATAAGACCAAGAACAATGACACTGTTCATACCGTATCCAGCGCGGTGACTGCATCAAAAGAAAGGATGTGGCGGTTATTGTACTTGTTCTTGCTGTTTATCCGTGTTTATTTTGCCGTGTCGCCGAGTTATCTTCACCCAGACGAGATCTTCCAAGGGCCAGAGCCTGTCGCTGGTAAGCATCGGTGAATCTCTCTGAGTACTTAGCAATGCTGACGTCTTCTGTACAGGGTACCTATTCCCTTATCCGACTCGTCCAACATGGGAATGGACGTCTTCGCGCCCGATCCGCAGTGTCTTTCCATTGTGGCCAATCTATGGATTGCCCATGACCCTCTTGAAATGGACCTGGGCGCAGGAAGAAGACGGAGATTGCGTCGATACCACCGTCATCTATTATACCCTCCGCCTCGTCATGTTTCTTCTCAGTTTCGTCTTGGAGGACTGGGCTGTTCATGAGTTGGTCCGCTCTCCTCGACGCTGGATCCAGGCTGTCATTCTAGTCACTTCTTCATATGTGACTTGGACCTTTCAAACACATACCTTTTCAAATTCCGTTGAAACCCTTCTTGTTTTGTGGAGCCTGGTTATGATAGAGCGCATTTTGCGCGACAAGGTATGTGACCTGCCGCGGTCCTTGATAGACCATGTGCTGACGGAGGTGGTCAAGAAACGGTCAGCAATTGCCTCGAGTGCGGTCCTAGGGTTTCTTTTTGTATTCGGAATCTTTAATCGGGTTACTTTTCCCGCCTTCGTCGTGATACCCGGCATTCAACTCTTGCCACATTTTTGGAATAGGTGAGTACTGGGTGTATTATACCCGACCTTGATGCCCTGCTGCCTCGAGTTACAATGCTGACATAAATTTGAGACCTTTCTGCCTTCTTGCCCTTTCACTTTCCGGCATTTTCTGGACACTAATCGCAATCATAATCGACACCGCCTACTATTCTGGACCGTCAGCCACGAGGTCTTTCCGTGCTCTCTACGACCATGTTTGGAAGAGCCCAGTAATCACTCCTCTCAATAATCTACTGTACAACACACAGACCAGCAATCTTGCGCAACATGGTCTTCATCCCCATTATCAACACCTCCTGATCAACCTGCCTCAACTTCTCGGCCCAGCGTTAATCCTCCTAATCGCCTCTGCCTACCCGTTCAATCTTCGCATTCTGAAGGGAATCCTCTCGAATAATCGGCTCGCCTCTGCTGGTGCGGGATGTCTTCTCCTCAGCTTAGTCCCGCACCAAGAACCGCGGTTCCTCCTACCCGCTGTCCCTCTTATACTGACAAGTATTCGGGCTCCATCCTCTAAGATAAGGGCGGTACTTTTCTGGACCACTTGGGTAATTTTCAACGGAGTTCTCGCGATCCTCATGGGCGTTTATCACCAGGGTGGAATCATCCCTGCTCAACTTGCTATGCCTTCCTTGGTAACACACTCGTTGAACACAACCCACTCGGACGCCCATAATGTCGAAATCTTCTGGTGGAAGACTTACCCCCCGCCAACCTTCCTTCTCGGCTCGGACCCACTACATCCTACGACCAACAGATCGCTGAACATCTCCACCGTTCCCCTGATGGGCTACCCTCAAAAAGAATTGGTCTTCATGCTCATGCAGCACATGCCCACGTGCGATCCAACACTTGTGGAACGGTTGATCTTACACAAAGAGAAGACGGATGTCTTTGTGGTGGCGCCACTCAGCGCATGGCGTCTTGATGCTTCCAACCCTCTCCTGATTTCCTCAAACCATCCTCCTGTTCAGAAGGCGGAGTTCACCTATCCTCCGGTCTCCAATTTTAGCTTCGCAATTGATATGAACATTCCACCTGCACAGTTGACCTTGACGAATTTGGCAGTGTTCCGCCGACATTTGAATCTTGACGACCTGGATTTCGGGGATGATGGAGTTTGGCCCACGTTGGAGAGAGTCGTGGGCAGACGAGGACTGGGCGTGTGGCGGGTCGACCGCATCTGCGGCCCCGTGGAGTATGTGGATGCACACACTGGGGAGAAGCTTACGACGGAACAAGTAAATGTCAGGAAGGCAGCGAATAACGAGGGTCGGGAGGATTTGATTCAAGAGGCAGACTCATCCGAAGAGGCCAGCAGGATATCAAGTTCGGCCGTTATTCCCACCATAGCGGCGCCTGAGGAATACGACGGGAGGAGAGCCAGCACGACCACAGTACCCCCACATAGTACAACAGATGATCCCGGCCTCGATCTCTGAAGAGCGAGGCCCTGGCCGTGGATTGCACTGGGAACTCTCCCTGGTTGTGGATAGGAATGTGAACAAACATTCCAAAGCAAACGCGCAATCAACTTCGATTGCTATGTTCTGTAGAGTCACGAGTCTCTACTTCCAATTCAGGGGACTACAAACAAAAAATTGCCTTGTATTGCCTAGCGGATGGTCGACGAGGGTAATTCTCATTCATTCCTTGGATCTACCAGGAGGAAGTGTTGTAGGGTGGATTGTCTCGGGCCTGGAGTTTGTAGCCCAGTTTGTAGCCCATGTCACCCGCTTGCTTGCCTTTTGGTTGCTCCATCAGACGTGAAAACTTGGCTAGACTAGCTATGGGACATTGACTGGCACCGGGGAGGTGAACTTGCACTATGTCCTGGAATATGCATAACTGGCGTGGGCTTCCCAGTACATGATCATCTTTGTCGTTGCCTCTAACATACCCCCATTATCACCATCGAAAGGCTCGAAAGGCTCTCTCCTCATGCTCATGAGCGACCAAATTGGTCGTCGACTCTTGATGTCAGATGTAGACCATCCAAAGAAGTATTGCGCACGCCACCAGAACTCCGCTTTCGACTTCGAACCCCAGTTGCGATGACATGGCGCTAATGGCGATGGAATTCCCAGGATCACTGCTCTTCGTCATCAGGCTGCTCGAAGAGGAAGTTCGCAGCTAATTCCTCATTCTTGTCACAAGCGAAGTAGGCCTGGATGACCTGATCACGGGGAAAGCCAAGCCGGCAGAGCCGTTCGATAGCGTCTCGCTCCTCCTCGGTCACATGGATCTGGGTTGCACCAGGCGGGAGAGTATCTTGAGCATCCTACAGAGTCAAGTCAGCATCGTCGATTTCGAAACCTGGTCTCTTGTCCTCACCTCCGCCAGCAGCTGAAGGAACTGATCCTGATTTGAACCGATCATCTGTGCAAGCTCGGGATTACCCTCGGCAAGTTGCTGCAAGATAGGTTCGAGCATCGCAGGTTGCTGCTGGACAAATTGTCTGAGTTGCTGGAAGTGCGGGCTGTTTCGCAGGAAATCCATGTTTGTCGCTACCCCTCCTTGACCTCCTGCTGGGGCTCTTCTTGCACCTCCTGGCCGACCGGCCTGTGCTGCTGCTTCGAACAAGTTGATGGGCTCGTCCCCAGTAGGCGAGGCGGCTTGGGCGGGCTGGGCGGGTTGAGCAGGCTGAGCAGGCTGGGGTGCAGGGGGTGATGCCGGATTCGTTGCGGTAGCTCCCGCGGCCGCTTGTCTTTGCTCCGACTGAATGTTATCGGGGATACCACTCAGCAGATACTCGATGGCTCGGTCTGGGTTGAAAAAAGCCGCCCTCAGGGCACGGTCTATTTCTGGCCTGGGAAATCCCATAGCCTCCATCTCACGAATGGTCGCTTCGTTGCGATTTCCGATCAGGAACGCCGATGGGTCGTTGAAGCCAGATCCAGCGGCGGCCGACGTGGTTGTGCTTTGGGCAGGCGTGGGAGTTGAGGGTAGATTTGAAACTGTAGATGGGTTGGGTTGAGGAGCAACTGGTGCGGCGGGTGTGGAGGTCGAGATCGAGGTTGACGGAGCAGGCGTAGAGGGACTGCCAGACTTGGCCGCAGGAGGAGCAGCTTTTGGCTAGAGTAGACACGCATCAGTGGACTGTGGCTTTCAACATGACATGAAGACCAACCTTTGATATCATACAAACAATGAAGCCCTTTTCCTCAATTTTGTATGAATCGACGGTGTTGGCGTCGGCAAGGACCTTGCCTGTCTCGAGGTCAGATATCTCAGGGGGAATCGCATGGAGGAGGCGGAGGGATTCGCATACCAGCATAGATGAGTTTCTGCTGCGAGGACTCCCATCCTTTCTCTGCGGCAATCTTCTCTTTCACCTGCGCGATCTGACCAGATGGGGTAAGCCTGTGTCTGCTTCAGGTAGTTGGGGAAGGCTAAAATGCGTACTGTGTCCGATGGCTCGGCATCGATCGTGAACTTTTGCTGCTTGAGATCCTGTCACAGGCATTAGTGACTGTCGAACCAGCGATGGACTAGATGTACGGACTCTGAAGGAGAGCTTCATCTTGCCCCGCCACACACAGTAAAGCGTTTGGACTCGGTCAGCGAAATGTCACAGGGTGGAGGACTCAAGGGTTCACTTGATAAGAAAGAAGTCAAGATAGCGAAGATGGCACTCAAAGAAAATGAGTGGCCTGATTCTTTTTTTTTTTGGAGGGAGGGATGTTCAAGTTGAGGTAAACGACAAGATGAACAAATGCGGCGAAAGGGACAAGCGTCAAGGGTCGCAAATCGCAGGCCGCAGGTCGCAGGCTGGTGACGCTTGCCTCGCGCTGCCTGCCACATGAGGGAGCCTTGTAAAACTGGAGTCCACGTGACCGCAAACCCCCTTGGCCCCGTCAGGTTTGCTATGACAGGTGTCTGCTACTGTTGACGTAGTCATCAAGCTTGTTTCATTTTGCAATCATCTCACTATCCAAAGAGATGCATCTGTGTAGTGGTGTATCACACCCCCTACCATCCGATTGAAGTGTACGCGCACGGCTACACGGCTGGAGCCTCATGGACTGGGCTCGCCTGGTTTACTCTTTCTCCGTTTCACCTTTGCTGCTCCCTCAGATAGCGTCACAATTTTTTCTGGCGCCCTAGTGCCCTTGGTACCTGCAGGCGGGTTGCTAGATGTCACAGGCATGGCCGAAGCTGCTCGGGATTGACTAGGCGTTCCGGTAGGAGTGGCTAGGCCTTGACCTTTGGTCTGGCCAGCTGTCATATTGGCATCTTTGCTCTTCGAGAATCGGAAGTTTCCTGGTTCGCCCACTAGTGGAAGCTCATCCACGTATTCTTTGCCGAACTGCAATGTCATTCGAAGCGCATCCCAGGCTGTTCGACTCCCGCCATTGGTTTCCTCCTGTGCTTCGGGAGGGGCTGCGGCTTTCTCAGTAGTAGCAGGCTGAGGCGCCGGTGCTGATCCTGGTGTTGGCGGTGGTTCATTACCCTGCTGTGAGGCACTCAGGATATTCTGTGGTGCCGACTGCTGGATAGGTTTATGGTAAGTATGGCCATGAGCGACTGAAAAGAAGGATAGGTCTGCTGGAGCTGTGAATACTTTGCTAAGCGCGGAAACCGTATTCAGCTACATGAGCTCAAGTCAATACAGCGTCAACTCGAAATATAGGACTCGACTTACCAGACGATAGTTCAGAACGCTGGCAACTGAAGGAGCTTGATAGATTACGTTGTTGACAATGTAGTAGTAGCCCAAGATCGTAATGCTGTCGTCTCGCTCATTTTCACGGTTCTGCTTGCGAATAACCCAGACATTGGACTTCTCGGGCCCGTTCGGTCCGTCCAGGACAACTTGCTCCTCCAGAGGATCATGTTCGACGACATACTGGATACCGCGCTGATGGCGCAGGTTGGCCTCAAACTTCGCCCTCGTGCCGAGGATGTCATTCTGGTTTGGCGTGCCCGCCCACTGGGTGAAGAGCGACTGGTTGCCCGACACATGATCAAAGAATGGGGACGTCGCGAAATAGAAGAGTACTGGGAGAAGAGAGGTCAGTGGCCAGAACAACGTAAGTAGCTCGTCGCTCACCATTATTCGAGTGTAAGGTCCCTCCATTCCAGGCGATCCAATTAGGGTCGAAGTGAGCTTTCTCGGTCAGGTCGTCTTTGAGGTCGGCCATGATTGCTGATTCCCGAGAGCGGATGTGGTCATCTTGAGCGGGTCTTGAAGAAGCCCACCGGCGCCAATATCGTGTCCTTTTCCAAGCGCACTTCACTGTTTTCTGATATGAGCCATGTATTGGGTGTGAAGATAGCTGGGACAGTGCATGTGGTTGTGTCCAAAAACGGCGTGGCGGTTGATGTTTCGCTACGGCGGAGCAGATTCTCGTCTTGGCGCCTCCGGCAAAACATTTTGATTCGTTGTCAAAATTTCATCCTCGCAGCATCAAACGGGTCGGAATGACTGGAATATCGCCATCTTCTCCCGATGGTTGTTTTCGTAGACAGGGGGAGGTAGGTCTTCTTTTACTTGTCTGTTTCTACTCTGTCCATGGTTTCTTTTGGTGTCTCTGGTTTGGGTCTATGACTGTGCCACTATTTGTCGTTCTCCAATAAGTGAAAGGAACAATTTCTCTACTTCTATCGAACTGACTTGGACGGTATCCATGCCATCTCAAGGGTCGATCCTCTTTGTCGACGCATACGACTCATTCGCAGAGAATATAGTTGCTCTCCTTCATGAGTACCTCCAAGTCGAAGTCACTGTGGTCAAGATCGATTGTGATATCCCGGCCCAATTCAACCGCTCTCCGCAGGCATTCTTTGCCAGTTTCGATGCAATAGTCCTGGGTCCTGGTCCGGGAAACCCACACAATGAGTCAGATGTTGGTCTCTACAACAAGGTCTGGGCCTGTGCCGCCAAAGACAATATTCCGGTGTTGGGCATATGTCTAGGTTTCCAGAGCCTATGTGTTCAGCATGGAATCCCCGTCGTGCGCCTGGATCTGCCATGTCATGGACACGCTAAGGTGATATATCACACCGATACGGATGTCTTCTGTCGTTCAGGAAGCATTATTGCTACAAACTACAACAGCTTAGGGGCTCGCCTGAGATCATTCAAGCGAAATGGATCCCCGAGTCGTCCAAGTTCCTCTGCCTCGAGCGAGAGCGTGTTGTCCCTGCGCAGCCTGCCATCTACCGTGTCAGGCCCTTTCGACCCTTTGGCTGAACTATCGCCATACCAGACATGCAACAATCTGGAGGTCCTGGCCTGGGATAGCGATGGTTGGGTCATGGCAGTCAGACACAAGCACTTTGCGTTTCACGGTTTCCAGTTTCACCCTGAATCGTGCAAGTCCAGTTTGGCTTGCCAAACGGTCATCAAACAGTGGTGGGATACTACACGAAAGCACAACGCTGTGCATCGAGATCTTGAGTCTGCCACAGAGGCGCCTTCTCGCAGTTTTGCGGAAGTGGCTCTTGCTCGTGAGAGCACTGTCTTGTCTGAAAAGCTAGAGTTACTCTCAAAGTCATGCAACGGCACCATCTGTCAGAAGACCCTACATCTACCGCTCGGGAGCAGGGCTATTGCCAATCTATGCCAACAAAGATCACCGCCCGACGCTTCTGTGATGCTGGAGTCTACCAAAAGGGGTCAATACAGCATATACGCCTTCCCTGACGAATGCAGTTTTCACTTGGAATATACTGGCGGATGTGCTAAGCTCTCACAAGGGTCCGGCCCTGCTACCAATCACCTGCTCGCTCGCGAACATTTGGTGGAAAACCTGGAAGCTTTTCTTGCTAGCAAGACTCTTCGAGAGCACGCTGCGTCTGAAGTCCCGTTCAGGGGTGGCTTCATGGGGTTTCTGTCGTATGAATTTGGAACAGCATCATTGCATCTTGATGTGCCAGAAGACACCAGAATACCGGTCTCCACGCCTGAGCTCAGCCTCCTCTGGGTGGAACGCAGTATTATCTTTAATCATTATACCGGGACGGCTCATGTGCAGTCAATAAGGAAGAACGACAGCGCTTGGGTCAATGGAGTAGCCGATGAGCTGCGTACTATGCCTCTATCCCAAGCAACAGCAGCTTTGAGTCCTTCTGAAACCGACAGATTGCTCCAGGTTTTGTCCTCGACAACCTTTGCCCTCCCAGACCACGACACGTATATTTCTCGCATTCGCGAATGTCAAGCCGAGCTCCTCGCGGGCAACTCGTACGAACTATGTCTCACTACTGAGGCAACTGTCACGACAGCTGCTGTCCCCGATGGCCCCTGGCTGCTTTACAACAACATTCAACAACACAACCCTGTTCCTTTTGCAGCTTTCGTCCGCCTCCACCAAACCACCATCCTCTCCTCTTCGCCCGAGCAGTTCCTCTCTTGGTCTGCCGAGAACGGCGCCATCGACATGATCCCCATGAAAGGAACGGTCAAGAAAACTCCAGAGACGACCCTTGCCAAAGCTATTGCGATCTTGTCGTCTGCGAAGGAAAGCGCCGAGAACTTGATGATTGCAGACCTTATCCGGCATGACCTATACAGCACCGTGGGCCGTGACGCGAAAGTTGAGGTGGTGAAATTATGTGATGTGGTCGAGTCAGAAACGGTCTACTCGCTCGTCTCGCACATCCGTGCCCACGTTCCACATTCCCCAACAGCGGATCCGAAGTCCAGCGAACACGCGAAAGAGATGACTAGTTACGGCGTGAGAGCACTTACTCGCACGCTACCACCGGGCAGTATGACGGGAGCCCCCAAGAAGCGGTCCTGCGAGATCCTTCACCGTCTGGAGCAAAGAGAGCGTGGTGTCTACTCCGGGGCTATCGGGTACATGGATGTTGGTGGCAACGGCGCTTGGTCGGTGTGTATACGCACCGCCTTCTCAAACGACGACCAGACAGAGATGGACCAGAGTACAGGCGAAAAGATGATGAAATGGCGAATTGGAGCCGGCGGAGCGATCACTGTGCTCAGCGACGAGGAGCAGGAATGGGAGGAAATGATGACAAAGTTGGACAGCGTTTTACGAGGCTTTCAGATGAACTGATGACTTTGAGCGTATATTTTTCTGGAGGTGCCAATTGCTCCAAGGGTGGGATAAACTACTGGCAGGTATTTTTCAACATTTGCGGTTTTGGGAAGAGGAAAAGGCTTTGACAAGCATTGTCACTATAGCAGCACACTTGGCAACTTCAACCAGCCAGGTTGCGGAGTTACTATCAGGGGGAATTCCTTGCTTTCTGATGCGGGATATTTTGGAACAATTTGGGTGGGCAATCGCCGTCGTCCGTGGTATGACAGGAGATCAAGTTCAATCAACAGCACTCGCAAGGGCAGCGGAATACAAGAGCCTTGTTTGAGAGTCACTCACTCACGCACTTACTCGTTCATTCATTCATTCTATCTGTATCCATATCAACGCGGACCCACAGAACCAGCCAAAGAACCTCGCAGCACAGGAGAACAATTCGGGACTCCATGATGACGATCTTCACCCACCTCTCAACTACTCACCTACCATTCTCCATGGAGTAGTAATTCCGGGAGTCGAGAAGTACGGCCAGCCGTGCGCTGTTACCTGTAGGACTTGAAATTTCAAGGTCTCCTGTCCCTACCGGGGATCGATCAACCGAGGGCCGACCGGACGACGCGTTACCGCCTCCTTGACCGGTCCGGATTTTATGCAAGGGCGGTCAAAGTCCCTCCGGTCCCGGGGTTCTGTGCTCGTACAAGGCCCCTATCTCCATTCTAGGGGATGTCAACCTCTGTGGGGAACAATCGCACTTGGTTCAGACTTTAATAGGGCAAGACTCGGCCGGGTTCGAGGAAGGATAAATTCCTGGGGCGTCGCTCGGGTCGCAACAGGACTAATAACTCGGGCTGGTCCCTACAGCACTTACAAGAGGGAGAAAGACACACACACACACGGTTACAAAAGGAAAGAGAGAAGAATACACAAAAGAAAGCATAGCATGGCGCAACCCAACAACCCGACCAACAGCTACACGCAGGGCCACTCCAACTATACAGTGGCAACACACCTGACACGCACGGCCGAGTCGGACGCCGGCTTCCTGCTCCCCCACATCAAGACGACGGACCACATCCTCGACGTGGGCTGCGGGCCCGGGACCATCACGACAGGACTGGCCAGGTACGCCAGCGCGGGGGCGACCGTGGGCATCGACATCTCTGTGGAGGTGCTGGAGAAGGCCAAAGCCGTGGCGGCGGCGGCAGAGACCAAGATCCCCGACTCGGGCCCCGGCAGCGTCGTGTTCCAGGAGGGCAACGTGCTCGAGCGGCTCCCGTTCGCGGACGAGACGTTCGACGTCGTCTTCGCGTCCCAGGTGATCGGGCACATGGTGCCGGTGGACCTGGCGCGCCGGGCGCTGGGCGAGATGCGCCGCGTGCTCAAGCCCGGCGGCGTGCTGGCCACGCGCGACGGCGCCGAGCAGCACTTCTACCCGCGCTCCTCGGGCCTCGACCGCCTGTGGGTGCAGAACGCGGCGCGCGCGGTGCGCCACGGCGTCACGGCCGATGACGTTGACGATGTCGACTCGCCCGCCACGAGCATGCCCGCACTGCTGCGCAGCGTGGGCTTCAACACCGACGACCCCCGCAAGATCCGCATCGGCGCCGGGGCCTCCGTCTTCGCCGGGCCCGACACCAGGAAGTGGCTGGCCTGGCGCGCCGCGGGCCAGCTGAAGCAGGGCGACCCGTTCCGCCAGAGCTGGCTGGACGCGGGCATCACCGAGGACGAGATCCGGCAGACCCTGGACGCCGTCCACAAGTGGGCTGAGACCGAAGACGCCTGGATGGCCGGGATACAGTGTGAGATGCTCGCGTGGAAGTAAAGAGGGCATCATCGTCAGATTGGCTTCTAGGCGCGTTGAAGCTTGAGGAGGAGCAGTCTGAAGGCTGTTTGCGAGTCTCCGTGTGATATATCTATCTATCTATTCGGTACACTTACAGACTACTTGCGACTCTCACACATGGAAGTCATTTACTTAGCCACATTATACCCAGGAACCAAATGAGATGTTTATAGAAATGTGCCCAAAACCGGGACCTGAGACAGCGTCATTCATTCAAATAAATTCTACAAACGTATTTCTTTGGCCTTTGGAGGGAGAGAATAATGTGCTCTCGTTGCCTTTTCTAGTCTTGTGCATAATCTATACATACGGAGATTCTTCGAGGATGGACGCACATGTCAACCAGTCCATCCTCTGTTCTATCCAGCGTCTGGAGAAGAGTCGTTTGTTCTCCAGTTCCTGCGCCGAGAACAAAGATTCAATGCTCATGCCGACCTTGAAGAGCAACAATAGCCGTGAGCACTTAGTCCCGGCCGATACCACCCAACCTGACCCAATGAACCTGTTTAAACGGCCCCTCCTTCTAATCGTCTGTTCATATCTCGACAAGAGGGGCCTCTATTCCTGCATTTTGCGGTGCCTGGGCCTTTCCTAAGACCGTGACCACCTTGGTAAAGTACTGAGCCACGAAACCCTCCGTGTAATAGCTGTGATCTGAACTGTGATCGGCGACAAGGTTGTGCGCCAGCTCATGACAGAGGATCACCCACCAGTAGACAAAAGCTTCACTGTATCCATCTTTCCCCGCTGTGACCATGCTTCGCTCATGCAGTTGTTCAAAATACCGATAATTGCAGAATATGCTTCCGTTCCTGTTGAAGCCAATGGTCTTTCCCGATGTTTCGAAAAAGATATTCAGCGTGCGTGGGCTGAGGGAAAACACTTCTCCGATCGACTTAAGAAGGCCGGCAAATGCCGTCAGCCCAGAAGAGTGCTGTTGGAGGAATTGGGAGGAGTTGCCCACAGACGAAGGCGAGAGAAAGCACTGGATTCCATCCTTGATCTCGGCGACAAAAGTGAGATCATGGGCAGGGTGCTCGTCACAGTAGGATTTGGTCTCTTGGAGGACATTGGTTTCTCCACGACTGAATAACTCCGAGGAGTTGTGAGCACGGGACTTTCTGATGGCAGTGAGAAGATTCTCGCGGAGTTGATGGGGTGCGGTGACTGATGATCCAGCCGACCCGGTCTGACCACTCTGTTGGTCGTATTGATAGGGAGGAGGGAGGTCGGCCGTTTCACCGCCTGTGATCGCTCGAGGCTCATCTTCACTGCGACCGAGCATCTGTTGGATGTGACGGTTGTTCCCGAGTCCCAGTTGACGCGACAGATTGGAAAACAGATTACGACCATGCTTCCGTATGTCCTCATTGCCAACTGGAGCGGGTGTGCTGGGTTCCGGACCTGCCAGCGCTCTACTGTCCGGTGAATCTGGAAACCCACCGGGGACATAGTTGCCTGGAGCTTTATCCTTGGCAGCTTGCTCTTGAGAGGCTCGCCAGGCCCTCTCGTCCTCTTCAATCCTCTTTTGTTGCTCCTCAAGCTCTTGTTGTCTCTTACTCTCAGCAAGCCGAGCCTCTGCCGCCTTCTGTCGCAGGATGCGAGAAACATTGAAACCTCGTGCGCGGAGGTCAAGCAAGTCTGTCTTCAACAACATTTCTAGAGTGATCGCAGAATGTAACTTCGGTCTCGTAAGCAAGATGTGGACCAAAGCCTGGCTGACTTGATAGAGGTCTGGCTTTGCACCTGTGATCCACAAGGTGTACTCTCGGTTGACCGCTGTGATTACAGCCGTCCGCTTTTCCGTGTGACAGACGTTTCTTCCTCGCAATGATCTTCTCAAAGAGATGGATGACACGAGTTGGACCTGTAGATTCTTCTCCAACCACTTTGCGTCGTGCTTGATAGTGTCCGGTGGCTGCTCATGTAGAAATAGCGTCGATCTTTCCAATATCTGCTTCTGCAATTTCTCTGCGGGCTTTTGGTCGTGCGCTCTAGGGCCATGTCTAGCGGCCTCTTCCACCAGAGAGCTGAGCAATGGGGATCCTAGAGCAAAGTAAAAGTCCTCGAGACTTTCTTCCTGGGGTGCTGCTAGGATGCTTGCCTTGAACAGGTTGTAGTTAATGTAATCGTCAATGATGATAGCATCTTCGGCACTGCATAGTTGAAACTCGCGGATTCCCAGGACCTCTTCCTCGTCGAGATTGTCGGCATCGTCGGCTGGGCCCGTCCGCTTCTCTGCCGACGGCGCCACTGGGGGAAGTTCCCTGCTTGCAAGGAGGAATGGTGCCTTCTTCATCTCTGCCCAGAGGTCTTTGTTCTTCTTCAGGGTTTTAGCAGCTTCAGCCATGCTCCGAAGCAGTGCCATGTATTTTTCGGCATTGCGGAAAGTTGCCGAAATCCGCGCAGGCTCCCTCACAAGGATCTGTGCGATTTCTAGTTTAGAAGGCTCTTGCTTAGAACCGCATCTGATGAGAAACGAGTTCGCTTCAGCACCGAAATCGACATAATGGAAGATCTCCCCGAAGGCCTCACTTTCGCCTAGAAAACAGGTTCGAGGTGATGTGTGAAGCTTGGGTGCCGACTTCTCCTTGTTCTTGGGGAAGATGGGAATAAAGTCCATGACGTTCAGTCTCGACATGTTGTGAGTGTTGATCTCTGCTAGCCGGCCCGCGAAATACGTAAAGATAGCACGAGCATCGTGGAACGTGACTGGTGGTCTTTTAGACAGGATATTGATGCAAAGATCCATGGGCGGATGATCCCTAACGCCGAATTTCGTGGCATGGGGAATCCAATCTCGTTTCAAGATATCAAACCCGAGCAGAGCAGCGCCTTCATTCGCAAAGCATTGCGTTGGAGTCGCAAGTTGGTCGGGCTTGTTCTCAAGCGGCAAGAACGGAAGCATGATGCTCTGATAATCAAACAGACCATAACCATGAGCGTGGTGGTGAGATAAGAAATATGCCAGCGCTCTATCTCGGTGGTCAAGATCATATCTGGGTCCTTTCTTGCCCGCCTCTGCCATGATCTGGATCAGTTCCGGGACCAGAGGCGTGGTGCGCAGACCGAGCGCGTTCAAGAACTTCCCTTCGGGCGTGTTACTTCGGTAGGGACCGGGCCAAGCCAGGACAGGGAGCCCAAGTTCGCGCAGATCGTGCCGTGGCTCGAACAGCTCGCTAACTCTGTAGCGTTCTGTAGACTCGCCTCCGTCCTTACCCTTGAGCTGGCTGGGACAGATAGGGGTGCTTTTGAGCTTTTGTATATCGGCCGAGGGGATGTCGTCACGTACAGAAGCCAGATATTTGATCAGATCGACGTGACTCCACTGGGGCTTCGCGCTGCCAACGGTTTTGGCAGATTTCGGTTCCAGTGCCAACAGTCGCTCGAAGACCACTCCCAACTCCACAGTCTTGCGCACTCCCAGAGCGAGCAAGAACTTGTCCTTGACACTCCCAAGACCTTCGATTATCGCCAAATCATCGAACAGCTTGACACTCGGAAAATAGGCGTCACCCGGCTTTCTCATCCCGAATTTCGTTGGGATGACTGTGTGCTTGACGAGTAATTCTACCAACGAGGACTTTGACGGTTGGCTGAGCGAATCCCATTGTTTCGAAAGGAGAGGCAAGACCTGCGAGCTGAATTCTGCAGATTTTGTGATGTCCTGGTTTTCGGCAAGGACCTGACGATTTCCAGATTGTGCGATAAGCCAGCGTACCCATGTCACCAACTGCAGCTCCTCCCACCCGAGGCTCTCTAGCTCGTGCTTGCCCATGCCCTTTGTGAACTTGAAAGGCATAACTGACGGAGGGACTGGGAAGTCGACGGGTGTTCGGCTGGGGTTCAAGAAATGACGGATTTCTCCAAGTTGAAGAAGTGGACTTCTGTTTCCCTCCGGACTGTCGTCGTTTGCTACAGCAACAGCCAGCAGATTTGATATAGTAGGCTTATCAAGTTTTCCACGGGTTGCTTGTTTTGTGAGCCAGCTCAAAAACTCGGCCACTTGCGCGGTGGTTAGAGGACTCGACTCGAGTGCAGATTTGATGTCGGTCACGGTGACTTCGGTCAGGAGACCGAAGTCGACCAGCTTGGACACCAAAACATTGGCTTCAGAAACCAACTTTTCGGGAAGAATGGGAATGCCTTCCATGAAACTCAGGTCCTTGGGAGCGATACGGACGTCGTGAGTGGGAAGGACTCCGCATGTGGAAACCACCTCAATGGATGCTCTCTTACTGCATGTCCAGAAAGCATCTTCAAGGAGCTGACCGATCGAAGCTGAAGGTGTTGACTCCTTAAAGGTAAAGTTCTTGAATGTAGTGATTGCCTCGTCCAAGAAAGGATTCACTTCTTCCATACGGATCTTGGATCTCCCATTGGCTTCTCGAAGGGTCTTTTCCTTGAGCTCTTGCATCTCACAGGACCATGCAACCCGGCAGACAATACCGGCAGCACGAAGCATCTCCATGTTCCACGTCCTCACGTATCTGGCGTTCAAATCGATAGACTCGCGTTCGACGGTTGGAATGACAGAGGGCGCGGAAATGTGTGCGCTCAACCCAGTCGTCTGATGCGTGGGAAAGCCAATGAATATCTTACCACCCCTGCTTGGCAGGACCGTGCCAAAGACATCACCGGCAGCGGACGCCTTCGCAAGGCTGGCATCCTCTATATAGGGAGCAGTCAGGATGGCGAGTTTGGTGAACTTTGGAGGTGGTTTCTTGGTTGCCCGTTCCAGCTCTTCATTGAATTTCTGGCCTGTAAATGTCTTGATGGTGGCCGTATTCACGTTCAGAAAGACCGTGGCAGACACTTTCGTCGCCAACTGATCTGCCTCGACCGAGCGATCAGGTCTTACTTCTGTCTGGCTCTCGTCCTGGACTGTTCCCGCCAGCCGCGAGAAGAATTTGCGGAGGGAGGGAGCCGAGTCTTTCTCGGTTGACCGAGCCGTGTCCCTTGTGGCTTTCCAGCCAATGACGCTCATCCACTGGCCATCAATCTGTGCAATTTCTTTGGAAACCTTTGTAATTTTCATGAAGCCCTCACTCGTCTTGGGCTCAATGTCCCGAGGGATTGGTACGTCGTAACTCGGGGATGTTTTCTTCTGCAGGGACACCAACTTCCACTCGTCGAGCCAAAGTTCTATATTTTCTAATCCAACGAAGGTCAGACTGTTCGCTAGAAACTGTGCCAGAGGGAGCAAAGGAGGGACCGGAGATGTGGTGTCCCGGTAGTCTAGGACGAAGTTTGTGTCTGTGGAGGACTCGGTGTCTGGTAGTTGTAACCGCCGCGTAAACAACGAGTTGTTCTTCCAAAAGAACGCCATTGCCTCCTTTCCAGAGGACACAAAAGGGTTCTCGCAGTCTGCGAACGTGGAATAAAACCCAACTCCAAACGCACCAATTTTGGTCTCGTCCGGGTTTCCCTCTGCAATTCGCTTCAATCTGTTCCAGTCATTCTCGTTGAATGGCTGTCCATTGTTTGTCACGACCAGTCTCTTTAAAGTATGATGTAGCACGGTATGCCTCAAAAGACTTGATGGTGAGGAATCAGTGGGGACAGGAACCGTGGCTGAGGGCAGCGTCTCGAACTTGATGGTGATCTTTGTTGCTGATGCATCTGCCGCGTTCTGCAACAACTCTCGCAACACAGTCCATTCTCCGGAATACCGAGCCAACACTTTGTCAATCAAAGCCCTTGTGTTGACTGTTACAGCCTCCTCATCAGCGCCTGAGCGCAGCGTGCGCGCACGCAGTGCATCGAAGTCCATTTTGCCACCAGGTATTTCGACTGTCAGCTCAAGCGAACAGTTCTGGGGGTAGGAAGACCAGAGAGACAGGCGGCGGGGTTGGAGCAGCGATGTAGGTTTCGGGGTCCGTGCTGAGAAGCCTTGGTGGTGATGAATATCATCGATGTGAATTGATGACCCGCATGGAGGACATTTTATAGGACAAAGCCTCTAAGGGAGGAATTAGTGCGAATAGGTGATACGGACGGAAAATACGTAGGAAAGACGGAGAAGAATGGAGAACCAGAGAGTGGTTGGTATTTTGAACGACTCATGCAGGAGGGCAACAGAATGTCTACGCGAGGCTGCAACAAGGCTGACGTCGATGGGGTTACGAGTTCCCGCGTAATGAGCCGCAGGCAACGCTGTTCGCCACCGCGACGAGGCCCCGAAGAGCAACCGGGGCTATTATGATGGCCAATATAGGGGGCGTGGGGGTCCCGTTCAGGAGGAGGGACCATTAGACATGCCTCGCGATTGGGTAGGTAGTCGCTTACCTAAGCCTGGAAACCTCATCACCATCGTCTGGTATCATCAACCTCATCCTCCATACAACGCCTCCTGTGCCTCTTGAAAGCGTTGGATATACCCTGTCTCTCCGCCATTGGTGTTGTTGAGGACAGAAGAACCGGACTCGAACCTCTTCATACGATCTCCTGTCTCACCGAGGCGATTCCACGTCCATCCATTGCCACCATGTCATCATGGGCTACCACCCTTTCCTACCTACAGCTGCTGCACAGGTCAACGTGCTATGTATTCCTGCTGGGCCGATAACGCCAGATCGTTTCCAGGAATTTATCAAGTCTTTACAAAATGCTGCGACTGTGGAACGTCGAGTCGTGGACTCCTCTCCCTCTCCTGAAGGTACGCACAAACAGCTGTCTCACGGGTATAAAACTCATATTGGCTGTTAGCTGCAAACGGGTCCGCTGCAGGAAATGGGTGTATCTTTTACGACATCTCGGCAAATCAACAAATAGGACGCCCGCACCTCTTCCCTTTCGAGATAAACTCACGTTGCCAGGTACTCCTGGGACTGATTGATGGAGAAAGATTTGTAAATGAACCAGCCCGTTCCTCTGAATCAAATGGCGCGACTTCGGCGGGCGTCTCTGCCACGCTTGACTCTATCAGAGCCGGGTTCGAGGAGCAGCTTCCCTCAAGTCCAGGCTTGGTCGTTCGCCGTCTTGTTTTCTGTGGTCCAGAACCTCCAGCCTCTCTACCCAGTGACATTCTCAGCATGTCAGACTCTGATGTTGAGAGTGCCTCCCGCGCGATAATGAGCACTATTTCACGGCAATTCCTTCACGGCGTCGAATTGATACTTAATGACTTCAAAGGTCAGCCAATCAGTATGGTGCCAGGTGCTACCTCACAAACTCCTCGACGGGCTGGCACATCTCCAGCCCCAGGGGACAGAAACTCAACATCCGTATCCACAAAGTCTCCAAGCCCGTTGCCGACTTCGATTGGCTCGGACCAGCTGGTATTCTTCCTTCTGCCGCCTGATATAAGCGTCTGCTAAACGGTGTTTAGAGCGACACATCAAGGGGGCGGTTCAATATTATTCGAGGCATGTTCCGGCTCCAATGTGGCTCGTGGACGGAGGCAATGAACGACCTCGCCGAAGGGGCCGCCATAGCGCAAAACGGTCAAGACCATCTGTGGCATGCAAAGGCCTTGGAACACCTCCTCATCTGCATGCTCCTTCTGTCTTGGTCCGAAATGAGTTTTACTGTGCCGCAAATCTGTCGCTCTCTGCCTAACAGGAGCGGAGCATTTCAAGCTGAGGTTGCGCCAAAGTCAGGCGGCCCTCTAAAGACATTGGCCCTGTTGCTACCGCCAATGGTCGAGACAGTGCTTGAACTCTATGCCAAAGTTGCAAATTTGGACCTGGGTGGGTCTTTGCAAGACATTTTGAGAGAGTGTCGTGTCAGGCTTGTGAACATGCTTGTTTATGTGAAGCGCGCTGGGGGTGTATTGAACAAACAGGGCTTAAATCAGATTGTGGCTGGCGGCAGTTTGATGCCTGAGAACTCAGAACACGCCAATGGAGAGACTGTTGCCATCTCCAAAGCTGGGCTTGCCAATATCCTGATTGAGACTCTCCAAGAAGCTCAATCGAGCAGGAATTCATCACACCATACGAGTATCCTGGTTGCAGTCGCCGCGAGTCTATCCATATTGGGGTTGGACCGCAAACACGCCTTCTATCTCAAGCAACTCATGCAACAATTCGCCCCAAGGCTGATTGAGGCGAGAAAGATCGGTGCCTCCGAGGCCGGTGTTCATCCAGCAGCTGGGCTGCCACCTCTCAACACTGCCCTCCTGGGTATCCTCCCGGAGATGATGATTGGCACCAGAGCTATGCTGAACCTGGCGGCTGGAGCATACGGCGTACCTCTGCCACCAGTCCCGCCACCAGCACAGAGGGTTCCTGCTGATATCGATAGCATCCACAACAGAACGAGACTGTGGGCAATCGAGCACAGCTCTGGGGATGCTATGCTGAAGCTAGAAATGCTGCGAACGTGCGTGACTGTTTGCGAAGCGTTGCCCGATGTCCCCGCCGGGCTCCATTTCACGTCGACCATATTGCGTGATGCAAAACAAATCATCACCATGCCCAAGTATTCAACGGATGCGGTGCCCATGGTCTCTGCAGAAGAGCAAGTACGCCTTCTCGACAGTCTCAAACGCGCCGTTTCAGCAGCCTCGCGGTTGGGTGCCGAAGGGTGCCGTGCTGAATACTGGGATGATTTCCTCGTTCGAGATGTTCAAGTTTTGGAACAAGGCTCTTTTGCGAAGCTCATTGCCCACAAGCCTAGCGACCTCAGCATCCGTGGGAGTGGCCTTGTCGAAACGGTGCGAGACCCATTCATATACAATCCTTTCGCGAAAGACAAATCCGTTGCAGCTGCTCCCGTACTGGTAGCCGGGGAGCTAGCCACGTTTACAGTCCTCCTGCAGAATCCGCTTGAAGTGGGCATCGAAATCGAGGAGATCAGCTTGCTGAGCGAAGGATGTGATTTCACTCCCTCACGCCACAGTATCGTGATGGGCCCCTTCTCGACCCAGATCTTCACCCTCAGCGGCACCCCGACAGGAAGCGGCGATTTACAAATCATCGGGTGCAGAGCGACCGTGCGCAATTGCTATGAGCAGGACTTCCTCATTTTCCGTGATGATTGGAAACTCCCAGTGATCCCGAAGCAGAATGCGCTTGGAAGAGTCAAGTCTAGAAAAGCGCAGGCGGCTGACAATGAAGGGACCTTGCTGAGTGCCAGTTTCCCGCTGGATCTGCCCGAAGCTTCACCCTTGAAGCTCCAGGTCATCGGCTCTCAGCCTCAGCTTGTCGCAAGATCCGACAGCCTGGGTGATCCTGCCATTATGCTGCTGGAGGGGGAGCGACGTGTATTTGATCTCACGCTCATCAATGAAAGCCAGACCGTGGCAGCAGATTTCGTCCTTGTCACTACAGAAGACTCTGTCACTTCCAGGTTGCAAGAGGCCCTCACGAACAAAGACCTCAGCCCGGCGGAAATGTACGAGATCCAGAATCAGCTCACTACACACCCGGCTGTGTATATCACGGATCAGCGCGATGAGATATCCTCCAAGACCTTAGAGGCTGGCCAGAGCATTGCATACAGTGTGACGATTTTTGGGCGAGCAGGCCTCGTGAGTGCTGCTGTACAAGCCAACTATGCGTACCTTGGATCACCCTCATCTGAAGTAAAAGGTACATTCTATACCAGACAAATCCGGTTTCCCATCTCTGTCACAGTCAATGGCTGTGTGGAAATACCACGATGCAATATCTATTCGATCCACAGTGACTTCAGCTGGAGTCCTGGTCCAAGTGCAGATGAATCAAGGGAGATAGCCGGAAATGATCGAGGCAGGTTGTCAAGCGTATCTATGCTATCCAACTGGCTCAAGTCTCGACGTGATGCCAGCCAATACTGCATGTTGTCGCTGGATCTCCGGAACGTCTGGCCACAGCCCCTTCACATTGAACTGCAAGCTCGGAAGCAGAACTGCGAATACTCTGCCGACGATCAGCTCTGGGAGGATGCGTATTCAGCGACCGAGACACTGCAACCAGGCCACGTCAGCCGGGTGATTTTGCTGGTTCCTCGCCTCTTCATTCAGGACCCTCATGCACCAATTCCGAACCTAGATGTCCAGAAGCAATTTGTGGTAACGACGTCCAACCTGAGTGCAGAGGCAGAAGCGGCCAGCCGAGAGTCGTTCTGGTACCGCGAAGAGCTACTAAAATGCCTACGAGGCACGTGGCGGGAAGAAGGCTCAGGTAGACATGGAGAGATTGACCTGAGAAAAGGTGTCCGATTGAGCCCACGGATGGTGGACGGCCTTAAAGTCGAGCACGTCGAAATCGATTTCGCCCTCAAACCGCACGAACATTCACAAGATATAGGCGGCACTGGAGGCACAGCCGTGACACAGATCGGAAGATCACATTTCGTCGTCCAGACCGAGGTATTCGCAACCCTTTCAGCCACAATCCGGAATCACACGCAAGAGCCTCTGCGTCTACTCCTTCGCCTCCAGCCTGCTCTTCGGTATCAACCTCATAACATTGCCCTGGATCTAACGAAGCGGTTCCTCTGGACGGGTGTCCTCCAACGTGCCCTGCATCCCGCCATTGAGCCTGGCGGTACTTGTGTAGCTAACCTAGGTATCGTCGCACTTGCTGACGGGGAGTATGAGATCAACGCCTCTGTTGAAGAGATCTGCCGTAACCGGACGCAAGATACCGCCAAGGTGTCGGAGGTGCAGGGCGCCAAAATCGAAAGACGGATTTGGCATGCCAGATCGCCATGTCTGATCGATGCTATCCGGGTCGAAACCCCCAACCTGCAAACCTCAGAGGACTGATAGGACAAGGTCAATAATCTGAGAAAAGACATCTCGCTCGAGCTCGACTTTGGCGAGCCCTAGTCCAAGCATGAGGCTACGGCGTTCATCAGGCGTCTTGGTGATGATTGCATCAGCAATTTGTGAAGCGTACAGGTGGCCCATGGCTTCACGTTCAGTACCACCGGCTCCCAGCAATGTCCGAGGCGAAAAGCGAGTTGACGGAAGCAAGGCGTCTTCTCCAGAGCGGCCCGTTTGGAAGTAAGGGTCCGAGTGTGTAGGGTTGTCGCTCAAAAGTGGCACAGTGATCTGGTGGGCCAATTAGCACGTTTTCCCAAAATATCAGCTAGCACCCCTTGGGGGGAGATGTACCCATTGACCAAGTTTTCCGTTCTGAGTTATTGTGATCATGATTTTGTCGGCGAACGAGATGTACATGACATCGGTTTTCACGCCGTTTACCTCTTTTGCCGCCTGCTTTGTAGACGCGGGGAAAGGGATCGTGACCTTTGTGTCGTCGTCCATGTCTGCCATACTGTAATCTTATGGTGAGTCTGTGCTCTGCTAGAAGGACCCGGGTCCCTGAAATGAAGGAGGGTATCAACTATGTAGAGTCTGTCAAGCCTGAAGTTCGAAAGACCCCACGTGACCGGGAGTGGGCCTTTTCACCGCCTTCAACTAATGCTTCACCGCCCACGATTTTCTGCCGGGATTTCAGGACAATTTCCATGCACCAACAACGAGGCGAAGAAATTGTACGACCAGTCTGACAGAGAGAGGCTTCATGACTGCCAAGGTCGGAGACTCGTGAGATTGAAATGCCTCGCTTCGTCCCTCGCCAGCGGAAGCACAAAGTGCTCGCCCGCCAAAAAGCGCAAGCTGGACCGTCTGCGACCGACCCCGCCGCACCGCAATCCAACCAAGAAATTATCGTCCCGCAGAGCAAGGCAGAGAGGGAGGCGAAAAGGCAAAAGCTGAGAGAAGAACTGAGGTCCCAACAGTCGCGCATATCGAGCAAGAAACAGAAGAGATTGGACAAGTACATTGACAACAAGCTGAGGAAGGATGAGACTCTAGACCTGTTGCGGAAGTTGGAGCAAGAGAAGGAAAAGTACGAGGCTGTGGTTGCAAAGAGCTCCGGGAATCTAGGCAAGCGTACGTTTGGCGAGTTTCGGAGTGATGCAGGACCAAGTCCAAGGCGTCAAAAGGAGAAGATCCTAGAGGTGCCAGACGAGTCTGACGTCGACAGCGAGGACTCCTTCGAGGCTGAGCAGAAGGAAGCCTTTGTTGGGAAGAATAGCGCAGAGGCGCCGGTAGTACCGCCTGAACGACCTCATCTACAGGGAAGCGGCCTTGCGCAGCCGTTGGCGCTGGACGAAAATGGACTACCTATCATACAGTCTCGCAAAAGCAAGAAACGGACCAGACCCCGTGACGACGAGGTTCCCGTAGAGTTACCCTGGGAAGGCTTCGACTCGGAGCCGAGTGTGAATGAGCAAGACGAAGATGAAGAGGGTTCAGAGGACGAAGAAGACACAAGTTCGGAAATTACAGATTCGTCGAGTAATCCAGAGGATACGTCAGATGAAGAAGGCGACACAGACTTGTCCGACGTCCAAGAGGAGGAAGATGGTGCGAAAATAAAACCCAGGAATTCGGCCTTCAAGGCATGGGCGACTCAGCAATTAAACCAATCCATCGGATACACGCCATCTTACACGACGGGCGAAGGACAACTATTGCCCGTGCCCAAACCTGCCACAAAATCAGATACTCAGCCTCCAAAACCACCCACAGCAGCTCCGGAGCAGAATCCTGCACCTAATCGGAAAGCTTACGCTGTGCATGTCAGTCGACCTCAGGAGATACAAGAATCTCGGTCTCAACTGCCTATTCTCCAACGAGAACAGGAAATTATGGAAGCCATCCACAATAACCCAGTTGTGATTATCAAGGGCGATACCGGGAGCGGGAAAACTACGCAGATTCCGCAATTCCTCTTCGAATCCGGCTACGGGTCACCAGAAGGACCAACACCGGGCATGATTGGAATCACCCAACCCCGCCGTGTTGCTGCTGTCAGTATGGCAAAGCGGGTCAGCACTGAGTTGGGGAAACATGGGCACAAAGTGGCATATCAGATCAGGTTTGACAGCACGGTGTCGACAAACACGGCTGTCAAATTTATGACAGACGGTATCTTACTGCGTGAACTCTCCGAGGATTTGCTGTTGAGGAAATATTCCGTGATAGTGGTCGATGAGGCTCATGAGAGGAGCGTCAACACGGACATCCTGATTGGAATGCTGAGCAAAATCGTCCCGGCGCGGATGCAGAAGAGTCAATTCAATCCGAACCCGACGCCCCTCAAATTGATCATCATGTCTGCTACGCTCAACATCGGCGATTTTCTTCACGAGAAGCTCTTCTCAGCGGCATTACGGCCTCCAATAGTTGAAGCCGAAGGACGCCAACATCGTGTTACAACACACTTTGCCTTGAGATCACGAGCAGATTATGTGGAAGAGGTAATCGAAAAGGTCAGACGAGCTCACCGGAAACTTCCCCGAGGCGGTATTCTTGTTTTCTTGACTGGTCAGAACGAAATCAAGCAGGTCGGCAACCGACTGAATGCACTTCTGGCCCAACGAAATGACAGCAGGGCCACGACAAACACACCTCGGGTGGAAATTGCTGCCACTGAAGCGCCACTCGAAGTTGAGGATTTCGAGTTCGGCCCTGTGAAAGTGCAAGAAGCAGAGGACGATTTCGAGATGGAAATTTTGACGCGTTCAGAAGATGAAGCGGAAGAGAAGGAATTCGAAATTTCAGATGATGAGGACGAGGCTGGAGACGAGACCACCCCTTCACAAGTTCGTGGGCATTCGAATTCAAAGGATCCATACACCTCTGTTCACATTCTCCCTCTCTACTCACAACTACCCACCACCGAACAGCTAAAGGTGTTTGAACCGCCTCCTCCGGGGGCGCGGCTGATCGTTCTTGCAACCAACGTCGCAGAAACAAGTTTGACCATTCCTGGTATACGCTACGTCTTCGATACTGGTCGCAGCAAGGAACGTAAATATAATCTCGACACGGGAGTCCAGAGCTTCGAGATCGACTATATCAGCAAAGCCAGCGCTCAGCAGCGTGCGGGTCGCGCAGGCCGCACAGGGCCGGGCCACTGTTGGCGGCTGTACTCATCAGCAGTGTATGAGCAATTCTTCCCGGATCATGCAGAGCCCGAGATCTTGCGAGCCCCGGCCGAGAGTGTGGTACTGCAGTTGAAAGGATTCGCCTATCCACGACCGATCGCTGAATTTCCGTTCCCGACACCACCAGCCGCGCAGACACTGAACAAGGCAGAGCAGCTGTTGAAGAACCTTGGGGCATTGACTGTGAGCGGATCGATTACCGGCCTGGGCAAACAATTGTCGATGTATCCACTCTCTCCTCGCCTCGGTAAGATTTTGGCAGCGAGTGTCCGTGAGACAGACTTGGTTTGGCACATTCTTGCACTCGTTTCTGGAATAGCGGTGCCGGAAATCTCTGTCACAGAAAGTCAACTCAACCTTACCGATGACAAGAACGCAGCAACAGCCTCGTCAGCACACGCTCGAAACAATGGTGATGATGATGATGACGACGACGACGACAAGCGGGAAGTGTACACACTCGAGAATCAACAGGAAGACGACCGCCGTGAGAAGCTCCGACAAGAGTATGGTCGTGCCCGCGCGACGCTGAGCAAAAACGACAAAGCCTCGGACGCGATGAAACTTCTTACTGCAGTGTCGCTGTATCTCGATAGATCTCCCTCCGGTCGGGAGGCCTTGTGCAAGTCACTATTCCTCCGTTCCAAAGCTATGGCCGAGGTCACTCAACTGCGTGATCAACTGGAACATCTGGTGCTCATGAACCACCGCAGCTCTATCACCAGAGCCACCATCTCGCAGTCCCGAAAGACCAAGATCTCCTCGAGCAAGGTGGCGACGCGTGTCAACACGATCGTGGCGTCCGGGTATATTGACCAGATCGCCATCCGCTACGACAAGGCGCCGCAACCACCATCTGATTGTCCAGCGAAAACCCCAGGCCGGACGATCGACGTGCCCTATCTTCCCCTGGTCCCCCTGCACGACCATCCGTCTGCCCCGCTACACGAGAAAGCGGTGTTTATCCACCCGTCGTCGGTCCTTGCGAGGGCCAACGTCAAAGACCTGCCCGAGTACATCTGCTACAGCCACCTGCAACGATCGCAGGCCCACACAATCACATCGTCGTCCTCGCAGCACCGCGAAGCTGACAGGAAAATCCCCAAGACGCGAATGTTCCCCCTTACGCCCCTCACGTCGGCGCAGCTGGCGTTCATCGCCAGGGACACGGCTCTCATCAACTACGGCAAACCTGTGCCCCGGACCAAGATCGATGAGTTGTCCGGGTCCCCCCGCAGGAGGGAGTGCTGGGTCACGGTGGACGTGCGCGCCAGTGCCGTCACGTCTGGTGCCGGGGGTGTTCTGGCCTGGCCTCTCCCGCCCGTCAAGGTGAGGCAGGTCATGGACGTGAAGAGCAAGACGGGCTGGAGGGTCGAGCAGGTGTTGTAGGTGCACAAGTGTTTTCGCGCGATATATGATATATCGAGTATGGACTGTAACGACCTACATATCACATATGTCCATAAATTCATCTGCACCTGCACCTGCACCTGCACCTGGCGATGACTAGTCAATCATCCTATCTGTATTCTTGGACCCTGAGAGGACATCGGCATCCCTGGTATATATGATATTGTGTAAAAACCAAACGACGGCCGTCTCACTTCTTCGTTCGCTCGCTCAGCCGCCCTGACTGGAACCTTTTCGATTTCATTTGATATGATTTGATTGATTGAATCTAACTATGTAATGAGTGCTAAGCCCCTGCTGGCTGGCCTTGCTGTTGGTAGCTCCGTGTGTTCTGTATTCTGTGTTTTGTGGCTCTGTATGTACCTATGGACATCCCTTTTGATAGTGAGCCCCGAATTGCCATGATCTGTACAGTGGTGTCGTTTTTTGGGGGGGTGCAGATGTCAGCCGACTATGACAGTTGTTTTTGAGTAGATTCAAGACTTTTTTGTACATGAGTCTTTGATGTCAAGCAGATCCCGTTGTGCGGACGCAGCTTTTTTTGACAATTTTCGAGATAATCTCCGACCACACCAGACGATCTCCTTTGCTCCGACCTCTTTTCCTCCCTATCCTCGCCTCTCTTCGCATGTCTGCGTGTTGTCTCCAACAATGCGATGGCATCGTGATCAGAATCAGCTGCAAACGGATCAGAGTCAGCCTCGTGTGCTGTTGGTCCGCCTGCGGTTGCGCTTCTCGCGCTCCTCCGCCGGCACCATCTCTTCCAACCACTTCACGGCTTTCTCAACTCTGACTTTGGCAGCCTCCATTTCCTCCTGCAGTTGCTCCTCGTTGTACCCTTTCTCTTCCTTGATCCACCATGGCGCAGTGTTGATTGTGGTGCGCAAGAGGAGCACGGCTTGTTGAAACTCGGCGGTTCCAAACTCGAAACACTTGTCGGTGGCGTTCCCGATTGATGAGGATGGCGGTATGTTGAGTGCCAGGTTCTCCGGCAGGGCGTCGCTGTGCTTCAACTCGGACAAGAAAACGGCGTACTTTTTGAGCGGCCACTCTTCCTGGTCATTTTGAAGCGTCCCGGCAAATTCTTCTTCCTTTGGGAAAAAGCCCGCAAACTCGAAGTCGATGATGGCAGAGACCTTGACACCGCCCGAGCCATCGGGCGAGACCAGGACATTGCGAGTGGAAAGATCATCGTGGGTGAAAATCATTGGTTCAATCCCATAGCGGAACAATGGGAGTTTCGGGAGTGTCTGATCAGCCATGCGCTTCACCAGCTCGTGAACTTCGTCCGAGGTGTGATCATAGAGCTTCCCATCCTTGAGCCGCTTCAGCGAATTTTTGAGCACAAAAGCGTGGTACTTCTCCGATGTGGTCAAGGGAGATGGTGGAGAGTTGTTGGTGATCAACCCATCGATGTGAACTTCGTAGCCGGGCAGAATAGCCTTGTCGTAAAGGACCGCTGCAGGCTGGGGGGTGGAGTTGCTCCCAACAATTCGTAGATTGCCTATCGCCTTTGCTGCAGGCATGTCATTCCGCCAGGTAGCCACATATGCAGCGATTTGGCGCATCAGCTCATCTCCGGCATCCCCCAACAACTCGTCTGGATGGAGCGGCCGCCCAGGTTCGCGTGTCATCAGAATCCAGCCTTGTCCCTCGGTATCCTTGCGAACATCCTCGATTGGGGTGCCGTCCTCAGCTTTGAGGGCCAAAACTGGAATGTTTTTGGGTTCTGTGTCTCTGAAGCCGCGGGGGTATTGAGGTGTTCGGACCTTCTTGCCGTCATCCGACCAAGCAAGCAACTTCGGAGCTGGCATGGATGAACAATGTTTTTCCAAAAGAAGAAGGCTGGCTACTTCATTCTGCACTTTATTTCGTCCAAAAGGGTGGCCTGCTATCTTGAGCACCAAAAACGAGGACTGAATCTGAGTGGTCGTTTTTGTCACATCAACTTCATTTCCCTTCCACTCCGGCCGGGAGGTGCGAACTGGCTCAGTGAGATTGACAAAGTAGATTCGATTATTGAAGGACTTTCCTGATGGGAGGTGCTCGATGATCATCTGCTCGCGCTTGACAACAGGAAGACATCGTTCCACCACAGTCTTGATTTTTTCGTCGGAGAAGTAGACGTCGTAGTTTGGGTTAGAGCGAGGTGTGGCTCGGTCCATGTTTCTGACGAGACCAAGAGGATTTCCTCGCCGCCGCAGACTCTGGTGGTCTATGATATAAAGCCGTAGACTGAAAATGGTGAGGACGAAGGATGTGATTTCTGTAGAGGGTCGATCAGCTGGACAAGAGTGTAACAAGAGCGTAACAATTAGGATGCAGAAATGAGGACAGGATGTGGACTGTAAGGGGTTTATAGCCGGACGAAGGCGCGCAATTTTGATTGCATCTTCTGTTGATGGTGACGACAAGAAAAGGAGAAATTCACTGTTTGTAGTCACGATGGCGACCATAAAGTGATATTTTGCTGCCAGACCCAGGCTTGACCAGCACAGGGAGGGTATCGTGACTTGAGGACAGTTGAAGAGATGTGAATTGCAGCGTGATTGTCCCTGTGTCAGGGGTGCGACTCAAGTGAAAGAACCATATTTCGCTGCTGCTGTGGACGGTGAGGATGACTGCGCCGAGTCATTCTGTATAGGAATTTTCCTGCGAGCTGCGCAGTTTGATCATCCTTCGCTTTGTGCCAGTTTCCCTCCAACCTTGATGCAAACACACTCACGTCCTCGTTTGCATCACACCCACTCCACCTTCACTTGCCTTCAATCCTCCATCTGAAGAGCTTTCACCCTGCAATAGCATTTGGGAGAATGAATCCAGATCAAACGACCGACCTCGCAATGCCGGCTTGACTCACTTTTTACCACCCTCCGAATCGATTTCCACAGAACAAGAGGGGGAACATGGTGATCCCCAAGTATACGTACTATTTGCACTTCGGATTCACCTTTATGATATGTCCAGCCAGGGGAGCTCATACACCAACTGTCTGCGAGACGACCAGCATCCCCTCAACCTACCTATCCGATGTGCTGAGGTTCACGAACAATTTCCCAGACCGATTTGCCGATGGCGACGACAAGATCGATAGGTGTCATAGCTGGTCATGAAACTGGAACCCTGATACCTGAGTCTCGTCAACCCAGTCGACAGCTGTCTCTTCTACTGCTAAAAAAGTCGCGCCGTGCATATCACACTGTCACACATCCAATTTCGAGGCGCTGCAAGCCAATGCCGTTAGGCCAGGGACCAAGATATCCGATGCACGTTAGCTCCACCTTAATCAGGGATCGCAAGCGAGGATGGCCCAGGCACAACCGTTTGCCTAATCTCTTTCCGGCAAGCCAAGTTGCGGGAAGAAGGTTGAGAAAGGGTTTCGACTCTGGGGGGCTCTCATCATTGTTACCATTCCGAGTACTCGGTACAAGGAAATCCGGGTGGTCCCCTCTACAACTTTGCTGGCGATCTCATGCCACTCGATTCTCTGTCGCACAAATCCTTGGGTCCTGGCGCTTTGCGTGCATTTCCACAAATGATTAACTTTTCCCCCTTCCGCGCTCATGGCCTTGGCCAACGTCTGCGGCTTTGCTTCAGGGGAATATGTCGGTCTGAAGCGTGACACCATTTCCACCATGTGGCTGAATTGCCCCTTTTCTGATCTACCATGGACGCCGTTATTGCGCCCTGGATAGCTTTCGAATTCAAATGTCCACAACCGGACCAAGCGACACAGGTTGCTTTACCGGCCTCTACAACGGCCTGCTCTTGAAATGACGGTGGTCACCCTCATCGAAGGCGCTTTTTCGATTTTGACTTGGGCGGGAAATGGGTCATACCAACTTAATGGCACTATATCTGAAAAACCTGCCATGCCATTCCGTTTCCAGCAACCTCACATCTTACTCGATAAGTTCATTTGGCAGGCCCATCGCTTGTCAGGCTGAAGACCCACCTAGTTGGCCATTTCAAACGCGCCGGCTCAGACTACCCGGCCACGATCGGTCAACCATGACATGGGCCAGTCTACCCAGCCTCGAGATGATTCCACATCAGAGATCTATGAGTAAACAATATCTGGAGCACTGGAAAAAGGGAAACAAACATACGCGCTTTGCAGGTTTAACTGTTCGTTGTGCAATGCAGCATCTCGCCCATGCCGTGGCAGCCGTGAAGATGTATCTGCCGTTGATCGCCCGAGTGCTTCCAACTCATTCCTTTGCTATCAAGAAAACGTGGCAGGGTGTTGTGAGTACCAAGCTTTGCATAAGGTCAGGCGTGCCGAACGCAATTTCACGAGCAGTTTGGCTGATTTGAGCCGCTTCGCCGATCGAATAGTGGTACAGGGAGTCCACGCATGGACATTCCCGTACCTTGACCCTCTTTCGCTTCCTCTCTCTCACCATTCTTTTCATTCTCGGATTTTGTGAACCGGTCCTGAGAGAACGAGGACTCTCTACATGGTACAGAGTACCTCGTCGGCCAACTGACATACAGGACCTGCGAGAGAGACTTGGTCATTTCCTCCCACTCTTTGAGCACGATGTCGCTCTGCCAGAATGGGTCCCCTCCGATGTTTCTGCCATGGTCCAACGTCACCGTCACCACCGATCAGAAAGCCATCACCAGAGGAATCCAGATCTCCATGGGAACTCCACCTCAGATAGTTTCGCTGAGACCAAGCAACGCCGACGATAACTTATACGTGGTGAACAGAGCACAGTGTGCCCCTCAGTACAACGACTCCTGTATTGGCCAATTCGGTGGTGTCTTCGACTACGGCGCTTCCAAAACTTTTCTCCAGGTCGCTGAAGGTCAATGGAACGGCACTGATCAAGGAAACCCCAGTCAATTATCCTTTGTCTACTTCAACGACGTCTTGACCTTTGGAAATGCTACCATCTACGGGTTTCCTTCCAGCTACGACCAACCTGGCTATGGCGGTCAGGGTGTCATGCCTCTTGGGTCCGGCTCGGACTTTTTGCGCATTGCTGTGGAGAGCGGCGCTGTACCATCGACCGTCTATGGCCTTTGGACCGGCTCTCGCTCCATCGACCACCCTGTGGATGGTTCTCTGGTCGTTGGCGGCTACGATACCACCCGGATCAACGGCAGCCTGACGACGTTCAACTCTCTGGAACAGTGCGAAATGTGTGTTGTTATCACGAGCCTTGCGTATGAAGACGAATCGGGGTCGACGAATCTCTTCTCCAATGCGTCTGAATCTCTCCAGGTCAACCTTCAACCTTCGGAACGTGCGCTGAATGTGCCACAGAACGTCTGGGAGAACTTCATGAAAGCGACAAACGCCGTCTACAATGACTCGTACTTGACGTACCCATCCACTGCTGTGCCGACCGGCAGTTTGGTTGTCACTCTGCAAAACGGATACAAGACAACAATCCCTTCAGAAGAGCTCTTCTATTATCCTCGCGGGTACGATGACGAAGGCAAATACACCGTGATCGACAACACCTACCAAATAGCCACCATGTTCAACTACACCAACGACGGTTACGTGCTGGACTGGGGCATTCCCTACATGACCATGAACTATATAATCGCAGACTACAAGCGGTCTCAATTCAAAATGGCACCAGCCATCCGAACAGATTTCGAAAGCCAAGGTGGAGGCTACGTGCTCCAGGCATCCTGTGATCCCGTGACGGCTACGGCGACGTCCACCACCTCTGTCAGTACAGGCACTTCCACGGCGACCACCTCGGCATCGGCGTCCCATAGCGGCGGCGGCAACAAGAATATCGGCCCTATCGTCGGCGGTGTTGTCGGTGGGGTTCTTGGTCTGATTCTTATTGTGGGCGGGCTGGCACTACTCTTCTATCGCAGCCGACGCCGCAAGAATAGGGCCGGAGCTGCAGCTGAACACGGCCAGCCCACGTTTACTACGCCAATGATGGGTAACGCTAGCCCAGGCCCGAATGGAGGATCAACCGCAGATCGATACTCCCATTGGACAGCGATGTCCCCGACAGAAGCACCCAGTGAGCTGGGTGGAGCTGAGAAAATGAATGGAACGACCGCCAGTGTGAATCAATGGCTATCGAGCCAGGCCAGCGACGTACGTGTTCACCGTCTCGAGATTTTTGGTTCTTTGCTAACAGTGGAATAACAGACTCAAACTGTCGTGAGCTCCACCTCTCCCAACCCCAATGTTGGTGCGACCCTCGGGTATAATATGGGCTCACCACAGGCGGGGACGATGGAGCGACCTTTTGAGATGCCAGCCCAGACGTGGGATACGCGATGAGGAGAAGCTGTTTTCTTTATTTGATTGCGCCCAGCGTTCCCTCAGTCAATGGGCGCCTCTTTCCCCGTGTCATATGCCAGAGGATCTCGTTATACATATCCGAAGCGCGGCACCTCCGACCCAAGATTTGTCTATATTCGGCGGCAAAGCGGCCCTCCTTTTATTCAAGTGTCAATCTCCCTTAACCTCGACCCCAGCCTGATCTTTTTATCTCTGGCACACAACCAAGTCGACGTCTCATGATCTTATGATACGCAGCACTGGCGCATGTTCTAAATTCCACATTTTTCGAGTGTTACTTAACCTCACACCTCTGAATATCACATTGCGTTGCTTTGAAGGCATGAAACCTTCTGCTGTCGAATGGGTCTCAAAAGGTCAGGACTAGGAAACTCATTCTGGTTGCTTGACATCTATATATCAGCTTTGTCAGGCAATATCATCGGAGAGGATCCAGCATGTTGAGTTTCCCCTGCCTCTCTGTGAGATTACTTCTCTGCATATATCTATGTATCGCATATTATTTGTTGCGTGGTTCATATATGAAAGCTGAAATCCACCTGCTGCCTCTTGAACCTTGAACCTTTCCTCAACACTGTTTCGGCGATTTTGTTCTTTCGTGTTTGCATTACACATGGTTGTGTATGTTTATGGAGGTTCAGTTGGCATATAAGTGGGAATTACGGAAAAGGCATCCATGTCCTAGTGTACGGAACTCTTCAAGTCTTCTATTTTATATTGGATATCTATCGTATAGCGCAAAGGATTTCGTCTCAACATTACGCCACGGCACCACAGACTCGAGCACCGGCATTAGGCTCACCACATGCGTATTCCCAGCAACGGGTAGGTTTCGCCCCATCATAGGGCGCCTTACACAAGTCTCTCGTCGTACGATCCGGCTTTCGTCCAAAAGTCGGTTGAACGCGCTCTGCTTGACACCATTCTTGGTCGACTTTACACCAACGAGCGAATCCTGCTGTTGGCTAGCACATCTGAACCCCTGCATATGCCATGTGCCGACAAGAGCTGACATTCGGGCCGATGTAAATAAGCATTGACTGACTTTTGCGAGGACCAGAAGACTACTTTCCCTGGACAGTCTGATCAGGAAGAGTCTCAACAGAGACATCGAGGGTCAATAACTCGAACCATCTACGGAGCACCGAGAACACGACTCGAGAGAGCAGCCTCGTCAGCCTCGTCAGCCTCGGATTTCCCCTGGTCTAGCCTGTTCCTGGGGCTTACTCGTTTCCTAATCCGCTGCTTACGACTGGACAGCAGGTCGCTTTTTTGGCCTGGGATCAATCGCTCTCTACGCGCGTGGTTGGACGTGATTCAATATCAGAAGTCTGGCCATCATCATAGCAGATATCTGCGCTTTTCACAGCACATCTGCAACCATCCACGCTGAATCTTCTGCTCTACCGGGGAGATTCACAACACAAACTCTGCGCGCAATCTCCAAGCAGATGCTAAAACCATGTGGCGGATTGTATTAGCAGTCCTGGCACTGCTGACAGCGGGAGTTGGGTACTTTGTCAATCTGGTCTACAAGAAGCGAGCAGAACTTGATGGACTGGTGAGTGTCTCGCATTCTCTGATGATGCATTGCCTGGGCTATTCACTATCTCGAATTGGAGATGGGCGATACGTACCAATGCTGACGGCGCCTTGTCCAGCCACAACCGCCCATGGAAAGCCGATTCTGGGGTCACTTGAAGATTGCGGCCGACTGCAAGAGACTCTTCCCACCGAACTGTCATGTCCAGAACTGGGCCAACTATATCAGGAAGAAATATGATCTGGGCGGTAAGTATATCGCCAGCAAACCTCTGCGTTTGGTTATTTGGCTCTCTGTCAGGTGTTGTTGAGATACTGATTACCGTCAATTCACAGACGTCTTCTATCTCGATTGGTGGCCGCTTGGTCCCCGCTGGATCTTCGTTGCCGACCCTGAAGTCGCTTCCAAGTTCCTGACAACAGGTCAATCGCTGCCAAAATCGCGGCTCACGACCAAATATCTGACCAACCTCCTGGGAGAAAACAACATGGTTGGCTTGGAGGGCCAGGCCTGGAAATCGCTACGATCCATCTTCAACCCCGGCTTCTCCGCGAGTCACCTGTTCACATTGGTTCCGTACGTGGTCGACTCCAGCCTCGTGTTCCTCGACCTGCTCCTAGAAAAGGCGCAAACGAACGAGCTCGTCCACCTGGACCCCTTGTCGATAGGATTTGCCATTGACATCATCGGCAAAGTGGTCATGGACTCGGACTTTGACAGCCAGAAACGGCCGCACCCGATCGTCACGACGTTCAGGAAACAGGTGGAGCTGATGCCGAGTGCTGCCAGCATTGGCCCGCTGGACGACATCAACCTCGTCCGTCCGATCCGTCTCTGGTGGAACGCCAGGAAACTCGACTCGCTGCTCGGGGCCGAGATTGACAAGAAGATTGAGGCGAGGAAGACCTCGCAGCCGGGCACCAATATCTCCTCAGATACAGTGAAGCCAAGGAAAGACCGGAAACGCTCCATCGTGGACCTGGCCCTGGACGCCTACGAGAAGGAGGTCGCGGCCAGTGCGAAAGGAGGTGGTAGTGGCGGCGGCGGCGGGATGAATCGCTCGTTCCGCACAATGGCCATCGACAGCATCAAGACGTTCATCTTCGCGGGCCACGACACCACCAGCTCGACCATCTCATACACCATGTACCTGCTCCACCTCCACAAGCACGTCCACACCAAAATCGTCGCAGAGCTCGACTCGGTCTTCGGGACCGACGTCACGGCGGCTGAAATGGCCGAGCTCATCAAGTCGGACCCGCACCGCATCAACAAGCTGGAGTACCTGACTGCGGTCGTGAAGGAGGTGCTCCGCCTGTTCCCGCCGGCGTCGACGATCCGCGAACTGAAACGGCCCGGCGACGTGTCCGCGGCGCGGGACAAAGTCCTGATCGACCCGTCGACGGGCAAGGAATGCCCCCTCGTCGGATTCGACCTGTGGCCCGTGGCGCACATGATCCACCGGAACGAGGCGTACTTTCCGGACCCCCTGAGCTTCATCCCGGAGCGCTTCATCCCCTCGCAGACGCCGTTTCCCGAGAGCAAACTGCACACGCCGGCGGGCAAGGACGCGTGGCGACCCTTCGAGAAGGGGCCCCGCAACTGCATCGGCCAGGAACTCGCCATGATGGAGGCCAAGGTCGTCGTCGCCCTCGTGGTCCGCGAGGTCGACTTCACGGCCGAGTTTCGCGGCAGGAAGATCGAGCAGGGCGACTGGGTGCCCGTGGAGACCAAGGACGAGTTCGCCGACGGCGTTAGCGGCGACGAGCGCCTCAGCGTCGAGGGCCACAAGCCGTTCCAGGTCCTGCTCGGGGCCGCGAGGCCGAGTAATGGCATGAGTGGGAGGTTGTCCTTGCGGAAGAGGACGTGACGATCACAGAAGGGTAACAAAGGTCCTGTCAGGCAGGAGGAAGGCATCTGAGCGTGACATTGTTGTTGTTGTACGTACACCGCCTCTACAACGCCTGCCTGGTCACCCAAAAAAGGATTTAAATGTTGAGACTCTCAACACAACAATCTCGGCCGGGCTACGAGGTACAATTACAGTTACAAATTCATACAGACACAGGACACCTTGTTAAAGTAGGCAACGAGGCACGAGGCACAATGACTATCAATCAAACAATTAGAAGGAATGAAAGAAAGTCAAGTTCAATTTAGATTCACGCCGATCTCCCGCTTCACCTGTTCGCATGAGAATCACACCACTCGCCGCCTCACAAGTAACATTGAATGAGGATTGGTATGCCAGGGGTTCCCAGTGTCTTGTGTTTTGTATCTTGTGCTGTCTCTGTTCACGCCTTGAAAAAGGTTCGGTGACCGAGAATGGAAAAGAGAAGAGAAGAAAATATATATATCTTGGCTCCGAGGGCCAAGAAGCAACAAGTAACGAATAACAAGCAAGAAGCAAAAAGCAAAGAAAGCGACTTGAGTTCTGGTTGTGGATCTGGTTCTGGTTCTCGGTATGCGGAGGTGTTGCTGCAGCTGCAGAAGCAAGACTGGAACGAAGGAACCGACGAAGAAAAAGAATACAGAAAAGACAGGCAGAACGAAAGCACACATGTTACAGGATGCAGGACGCAGGATGCAGGGTGCACAATCGGCCTTTTGGCTCCATTCATACCAACTAGTAGTTCCATCTCGAGAGTCAGTCCAGATGGCGTCGTATGTGGATGAATCGGCCCCCTGAATAAGACTGTTTCAGCTCAGCCTTGCATGACATACGTCGATATCTCTCCCTGCAACTTGCAACCACGACTCAGCTCGTAGCCGGCTTGGCCGAAGCTGATATCTCATGTTGCATATTTCCAATGCGTCAATAAGGCTCGGCGCGCCAAGCTTTCCGCTTGTTTCACAGCGATTGTGCATTTATCGGGCACAGTAGCCACCGTCAATGATGATGTCAGTGCCGGTCGTGTAGGAGCTCGCATCGCTGGCAAGGTAGACATAGGCACCCTTGAGTTCCGTCGCCTTGCCGTCGCGGCCCATGGGGATCATGCTGTGCCACAACTGTTGAATATCCTGAGGAACAAAGTCCGAGAGACCCGTGTCGATGTAACCAGGCGAAATCGAATTCACACGGGCAAAGTCTCGCCATTCGTTGGCCAGAGATCGTGCCATGTGGATGCAGCCGGCTTTGGCAACATTGTAAGAGGTCTATTTGTATGGTTAGCACGCCCTCTCACCTCATAAGCAGTAGAACATTCTCATAAGACTGACCTGTTCTTGGGGAAAGTTGGCAATGTGACCCGACATGGATGCCGTGATGATGAAGCTGCCGGTCTTGCGCTCCCGGAAATGCAGACCAACGGCTCGTGCACAGTGGTAGACACCGTTCAAGTCCGTCTGGATGACCTCGTTCCACTTCTCAACAGGGGCATCGAGGATACCGCTGTCAGCAGTTCGACCGGCGTTGGCAATAAAGACATCGACTTTG